GAGGAGGAGGAGGAGGAGGAGGAGGAGGAGCAAGGGAAAGAGGAGGAGGAGGAGGGGAATGAGGATGGGGAGTGAGGATGGGGAATGAGGATGGGAAAGAGGAGGAGGAGGAGGTGGAGGAGGAGGAGGATGAGGAGGCGGAGGCGGAGGAGGAGGGGGAGGAGGGGGAGGAGGACGTCGTGGCAGCTCCCCCGGCTAGTACCCCGTGGCGCCGCCACTCGGCGGGTCGCCCCTGGGGCGCTCTGCGCTCGGGACGTGCGCGGGGACCGCTCGGGGGGCCTCTCACAGGGCGGCGGGGCTGCTCAGAACACCACAAACATAACCTTTTGGCGCTCCGCGCGAATTTCTTTTGGATCCGCGCTGGGCCCCCGCGCTCCGCGCGCCAGGGAGAGTCGGGCCGGACGAAAGGGGGGGATTGGGAAAGGGGGGGTACGGAATTTGCTGCACGCAGCTAGTTTCGGCCTCACCGAGGGGCCCATTCCTCGATACATAGCCGCCTCCGGCGCCGGGAGGCGCCGGGGAAATCAGCTACGTGAGCTGATTCTCACCCCCCCCTTTGCTATCCCCCCCTTTCGCCCGACCTGAGAGGGGTCCAGCGCGGATCCAAGAATGCCGTGCGGATCTCCAAAAGTTTATGTTTGTGCGGCTTTTGTGGCTCTAGAGAAGCCCTGTGGCCTCTCAGCATGCTTACTCAGCCCTGTGCTCTCAGTCGACCAGCAATGTAAGACCAAGTCGGGCCTGTCCCTCTACAGAAGGGATGCTCAAGAATGGTCTAACATAGTCTGAGAACTATTTTGTTAAAACAACTATTTGGGAGTATTTCATATTTATTGTTAAAGCCACGTTTACGCAGAAAGCTTGCAGTCGACCCGCCTGGCAATGTTAAGTCGGGCCTGTCCCTCTACAGGAAGGATGTTCAAAGATAGTCAAAAATAGTCGGTGGGGGATTTTTCAAGTATTTGTTTGACTATCTTTAATTTTCGTCCAGAGTCCGCCTGTACGCCTGTAGGAGGGCACGCCCCACCTAATGGTAGAGACAAGCAACCTTCCCAAGGGAATCCCCTGCATCCTTGCCCCTGCAGCCCATCCAAGCCGGCTCTCGCCGGCCAACCTCGTTCGAAATTCGTTCACATGGGCCTCCAAGGCACTTGCATCCTTACCGCGCATCCTTATGATACGGGTTACGGTATCAGAAGAGGCCTTTTGAGCCGTCTGTGGAACGTTGCCGAGAGTGGTCATTTTCGGGCCCGCTTCTGGCATTGCAGCGTTGCCCACATCGGGGAGGGCTGGGTTCGCCGGGTCACTGGCCAGAGTGCCCGTCAGTGGAGTCCCCGTGAGAGGGGCGCGGATTGTGGCTTCGGAGACTGCTTACTCAGAGAGCTTATCAGAAGAGGTCTTCGAAGCCGTCGTCTATGGAGGCCCCCCCCCTGCCCCCTTCCCCCCTGGGCGCGTCGCCGACCTTTCCTACTGCAACACGGGCCTCACGGCTCCTCTCCGCTCGGCTCGCGGGGGACCGGCGAGGTTCGTCGTGGTGGATCGAGGCAGGTCTTCGAGGTGCAGTCATTTTTGCACAGTAAGGATGGGCAACCCTGCCACGGGTACCTGACATCCTTGCCTCCTCGGCCCATGCTTGGTCACTTTTGTTGGCCGCGCCCCGTCGAAGTGGGTGTCTAAGGCCCTTGCATCCTTGTCGCGCATCCGTCTGATACGGGCCGACTGGTATGTCCAGAGATGCCCAGGCAGACCTGAAGGAATCGTGGGAGTTCCAGCGCGGGTATGATGGGCAAACTCTCCATCAATACTACCAGATGTAGAACGGAGGAGAAAGGGTGATGAGGAGGTCCTCCTCCTCCTCCTCCTTCCCTTCCTCCTCCCCCTCCTCCTCCTCCTCCTCCTCCTGCTGCTGCTGCTCCCCCTCCTCCTGCTGCTGCTCCTCCTCCTCCTCCTCCTCCTCCCCCCTCCCCCCTCCCCTCCCCCTCCCCCTCCCCCACTCCTACCCATGGCAGCGGTGGTGGAGACTGGGCCCAACAGAGTCGAGGAACAGCGGACGCCCTCAAGCCCTCACACCAACCTTGGGGCCCTCGGGCGACCCCCCGCCGCTCGGCGCCAGGCGACGCAGCAGCAGCAGCCGGTCCACGAGCAGGCGCCCGTCCAGCAGCAGTGCGCGGGCTGCTCTGCTCGCGCCCCACTGGGGGGAGGTGGGCGGGACCCGGATCTCGCGGGTCTGGGCGCGATTCGACGAAACGTACGTGGTGGGGGTCCCTTCTGGGCTGCGTGGGGCCGCTCCTTCCCTCCCGCCCTTTCCCCCCCTCCTTGCTCCCTCCTCTTCCTCGCACTCATCTCCCCTCCTCTTGCTCCTCCTCTCCTCCCACCCCTCCTCCTTCCTCCTCTCCTCCTCCTCTTTGTTTCTCTTCCCTTCTCCCTTCTTGCGCCTCTCCTTCTCACTCCTCCTCTTTTGCCCTCCTCCCTCCGTTCCCTCCCCCACTCCTTCCTCTCTTTCTCCCCTGCTGCTCTTTCTCCTCCTCCTCCTCCTCCTTCACCTCCACCTCCACCTCCTCCTCCTCTCCGTAGCCATTTTGGCTCCAGCCTCGCTTGGGCCTTTCGGGGCCCAAACGGGGGTTGAGCCCGGTAGCCTGTCTGGCTCAGTTGCGCCGCCCCGCGAGTAGGTCTCCTTCTGGGCGCGCGGCGGGCGCTCTGGCGCACGACGCAAAATCCGACAGTTTGTCAGTGCCCAGGGGAGCCGTCTTCTTCCCCCCTTCGCCTCCAAGGGCCTCCCTTGTGGCGGCGGAGCGGCGCTGGTGCCGGAGGGGGCCACTGGATGGTGGAGCCAGCGGTCAGGGAGGAGTTCGTCGACGTCGGCGGCAAGGGTTCGCTGCCCGATGGCGGCTGCTGGTGCGCGACATGTGGATGTGCGACCTGGAGCCGGTGGCGCGGGCAGCAGCAGCAGATGTGCGTCACCGGTGTTGTCTTGCACCACCGGGTGGCAGGTGCTGCTACGGCTTTCGAGGGTGCCACGTCGATGAGCTTTGGCGGCGCGATGGGGGCTTAGCAGGGCCAGGAGCTGCTCCGCCTGCTGCGGGGCGCAGGGCAGCCGTGCCAGGACATCGCGCACGACGTTGATGGCAGCGGAGCCGAGCAGTCGGTGGCGCCCATGGACTGGAGCGTGGTGCACGTGCAGGACTCGGTCGTGCGCAACACTGGCGGCGCACTTGGTGCGCGGCGCGGGACCGCTGATCGGCGTCCGAAGGCCGCGGTGTGCAAGGACGTGCTGAAGACGAAGGACGACGCGGCGGCCCAGAGCCAGATGCAGGAGCAGCTGGTGGGGGCCGTGCGTCCCATCGACGTGGAGCGCATGAGCGGCGAGGTCGACGACGACTGGCGGCTCGTGCAGGGCAAGGGCAAGCGGGCGGGCCGCTGGGAGGCGGCGCAGGAGCTCGCGGCACGCTCGGCAGAGGCGTAGGCCTCGACCGAAGCCGCGCGGCAGCCGGACGTTGCGCGTGCCGCTACTGCTGGCGTGGTGCAGTTGTGCTGGCGCGGCTGGCTGGGGCGGCAGGCGGCTGTTGCGGCGCGCGGTGCGCGTGCGGCGCGCGCGACGGCTGCGCCCTCGCCGCCGCTGGCGGCAGCCCCTGCCATCAAGACGAAAAAGGGCAAGAAGGCCAAGCAGGGCGCGGAGTCGGACGACGTGATCCTCACCGAGGCGATGCGCGTCGCTGAGCGTGAGGCCGCCGAGCTGGCCAGCGCGGCCCTGGTGGCGTCCTTGAAGGCGGAGCTCGTGCTCGTGTTGGGCGCGATCGCGGGGAAGCTCGGGAAGCGCGCGGTGGTGGCCGCTCTCGGCAGGCTCCGTGACGGTGCCGAGCAGGCGCTTGGCCAAGGCAGTTCCACGACTTTGGACGAGCAGGAGTGGGGCACGAGGTTCCTGGACGGCGAGTTCACCGAGGACAGGGCAAGGCCGTCTGGGTGCAGGTCGTGACGGATGATGAGAATGCCATTGTTTCCGACTGCGATGACTCTGGCTGAAGGTCGGCGTGGTGAAGGCCGTCGCGTTCGGCCTCGTGGTCGGGGGCCCTGTCTTGTCAGGGCCCCGTCAGGGCCCCCGTGGTCGGAGGTCTTGTCCCCTCGGGACCCCCACACGGTCGGGGGCCTTGCCCGTCGGGCGGGCCCCCGCGGCGCCCGACCGCGCGTGTCGCGCGGGCTATCGGGAGAGCGGGGGGGGGGGGCGGCACCGCTCCTTCTGAGACTCGTGGATCCTCCTCCTCCTCCTCCTCCTCCTCTTCCTCCTCCTCCTCCTCCTCCTCTTCCTCCTCCTCCTCCTCCTCCTCCTCCTCTTCCCTCTCTCCCCACCCCTCTCCTCCTCTTCATCCTCCTCTTCCTCCTCCCGCTGTTGTCGCTTCTCCCTCCGCCGCGAGCGCGCCCACGCGGAAAGGCGCCGCCCTAAACCTACAATCCCTCATCTCAGACGTTCTCTCAGGGCCGAGCAACGCCAAAGGAGCATGCCGCCTCTTCGGCCGCTTGGCAACCCACGTGCTGAACAAGCGGGAGGGGGCCCACCAGAACGACCGCTACCAAGACGCTCGAGGGTGGCTTCAAATGGTGACGCCAGTCCCGTGGAGCGCACTCTGGCAAAGGTACAGGGTCAAGTCCAGGTCCAGGGCCGTCGAACTTTTTGTGGGAATGTTTAATAATTCGAGTCGGAGATTGATTACATAATTTGTTTACTTGGAAATTACTTTGCCCTTCCGAATCCGCGAGGTATTCGTTGATTCGACAGAAAGAGTCAAGTTTTGGGCAACTCAAGTCTGCAGTCGACCCCCTAGTCGATCAACCGGCCCCAGGGAAGGGGTCCGGATCTCCGGATCTCAGGAAAGCGCCACGTTGTGAATTGGTCGCCACGTCGGACGCCTGAGTCCGTGCTCCTCGCCGTCGTCCCCCTCCTCCACGCGGTAGGGGGCGAAAAACCTCAGTATTGAGTCAAAAATAGTCTGGGGACGTTTTTGATCATTTTTTGGCCATGTTTCAAAAACGTTTGGACACAACCGTCCCCTTGTAGGAGGACGTGCCCGACCTAACTGTAATGTTGTGGGTGAAGATCGTGGTGCGTGGAGTTCCGTTTCGATCTTCGTTTGCAGGGTTGCGCATCCTTGAAATCTTGAGCGTGGAGCTTTGCGCTGTCCATGGTCCCGTTCCGTACCTTCCTCCGTATCCTATTCCGTTCTTTCGGCAGTCTCATCGTCGCAACTTGCCACGACCACATATGCGTAACACAGCCACACATCATGTTCCGAATTGACACGCTGGGGCAAATGGGTTGCCGCGACAGCGCCGTGTAAGCGTGATGTCCAGACCATCCTTGGTATCTTCCTTTGTACGTCTTTCTTTCGCATTATGTGTATAGTGCTTATCATCTCTGTCTCTCCTTCTCTCTTCCTTTCTTTGTGTATGGGTGTGTTTCTCTTTCCTTGTCTCTCTCTCTCTCTCTATATATATATATATATTGGCATGTCTATGTTTCCCTATCTTTTTATCGTTGTTTTCTCTCCCTTTCTCTCGCTGTACATATATATATATATATATATATATATGTATTCTCTCTCTCTCTATCTCCCTCCTCCCTCTCTACTTAGACCCCCGACGTCACGATTGGATCACAGCGTCGACCCTAAAATATCTCGGCCCATTTCGGGGGACGGGCTGTTCATCCTGAGTCGTTCTTTGATGGTCCCTGGGGCTGGCGAGGGTCTCAGCATGGCGAACACCTTCCGCCGTATTTCTTCACGACGCGAAGGGATCGCGGTACCTATTTGTCTCTCTCCGTCCTCGCCCTTCTTGCGTCGCGCCTGCTGCCAGCCAGGCAGACGCTCAGGCAGCAGCAGCAGCAGCCGCAGCAACACGTGGAGTCGAGAAGATCTCAGGCTGGACTGGCCTCCTGTCAGAGCTGGCGGGGAGCACTTGTCGAAGAGCAACATCTGTCGTCGGGAAGCAAACCCAGACATGCTAGCGTCGTGAAAGAATCACGACGGGATGTTCGTGGCCGCTTTCGGTCTCCGGGGTCCCTCGCCGGGCCCAGCCCTGGGACCGTCAAACAACGACTCGGCATGAAAAAACGGTCTTGGGGAAAGGGTCAGGAAATGAGGGACACCGTTTTGAAAAGACAAGACATCGCATGTCTGAGAACGGGCCCCGAGGCAAAGCATGTTGGATTTGTTTCTCGCCGTGTTCGACCATCTCGGGGCCCTGGACGGAGAACCGATCTTGGGAAAAAAGGCTTTTGGATCCAGAACACATTTCCCTCATGACCCATTTTTCATGCTAAGTATTAAGTTCAGGGAGCGTTTCAGCGCGCACACTGTGTCATTCGTTGGGGCTCATCAGCCAAGTTTCTTCGCACAAGCTCTTCGCGAGAGTTGTGCAGTGAGCTCTCGCGCTTGCCGCTCTCAGACTGGTGTCGTTCTACATCCTCCTGCGATCGAAGAGCTGTCTGATCTTGTAGTCAGTGCATTGGACCACGTGCCAAAGAACGGAGGGACAGCCGGTGGAAGAGTGAAACGAGGGGACGAGGAGGACGGGGGAGAATGGGAGAATCACGGCGATGAGGGCGGAAAGGATGAGGGTGATGGGGATGAGGAGGAGGAGGATGAGGAGGAGGAGGAGGAGGAGAAGGAGGAGGACGAGGAGGAGGAGGAGGAGGAGGAGGATGAGGAGGAGGAGGAGGAGGAGGAGGAGGAGGAGGAGGAGGAGGGGGAGGACTTGGAGGACGGGAAGGGCGCGGAGGAGGAGGCAGAACAGAGGAGCGCCCCCCTCGGGCTCCAGCGGAGCGGCGCCCCGCGCGGCACCCAACGAGGCCTCGGGCTCCCTGGGTGCCGCGGGTGCGCAGCCGTCGCCGCCGTGCTGCGCCCCCGGGGGGCTCCAGCGGAGCGACGTTCCCAGACCCCCTCGCGCTGTGAAAAAGTTGCGACGGGACGTTTTTCTCGCCATCTTCGGCCTCCAGGGGGCCTCACCGGGCCCCGGGACCGTCAAAAAACGACTCGGGACGAAACACCTGTCCCAGGGAAGGGGTCCAGACCTCTGGGGGTCGACGCTGTGAAAGAATCACGACGTCGGGGGTCTGGGTTCCACGCTAATAGGCCCAACGATGATGCCCCGCCATGCCTGGGCGCTGCCAGGCCCGCAACTGTCACCACCTGGCTGCCAGGCGTTGGTGCCTCCGCCTCGTATCGGTCCCGGAGGACGTGCACCTCGCAGGGCACCGTTTGTTCATATCTCGCGTGTCGTAGGCTGCCCTTTCAGGTGCTCACTCGATTGGAGTGGGCCTCATCATTCTGCTGTCCATCAGTTTGCATGAGATCCTCTTCTGTTCCGTCACGGTTTGCGGGAGTCTCACTCATGCCGCATGGACGGTCGGACGAGGAGGACGAGGACCGCAATTCATATCAAACGAAACGGGTTGGGTTCCCGGGGTCATGTATGTTGAATGGCGACCAAGTGCCATGGCCCCCCACCAGAACTCGCTCAGAACGGGTTCCCCGACACCCTCTGAGCACCATCCTTGCCCCTTTTCCGATCCCCGCCGTGGCCGTGGCGGCGGCACGGGGCCCCGAGGGCCCGAGCAGGCGAGGTGCAGGACCGGGGCTCGTCGTTCGGGTGGCAGGTCGGGAGTTAGGAGGGGAGTGAGAGACCCTCCCCTCCTAACTTTTTACATGTCTCGCATTGCATGAATCCAGACACCTCAGATCCTAGAGGCCATGGCCTCACCCACCTGGTCTGCTCTAGGCCCAGACGCTGTCCGCAACGGTGGTCGCATCGCATCGTCGCATCGCGTCGCATCGGACCTCCTGACCCCCTTCCCCGTGATCGGGAGCCTTGAGACGGGGGTCAATGCAAACGGGGGTCAGCCAGAGCGCCGGATCTTGCAGGATCCTACAGGGCCAGGGTCGCATTGAGCCGGGTTTGGGTGCAGGATCCTGCAGGATCTTGCAGGATCCTTCGCATTGACCCGGTTTGGGATGCAGGATCTTGCAGGATCCTGCAAGGCCTGATTGACCTGGGTCTGGATTGACCCGGATCAGAAGATCCCCTATGTGATCAGCCTTTCATCTTGTGTCGTTCTCTGACGCTCGCAGGGCCTGGATTGCCTCTCCCGCAGCGCTGCCTCTGCCAGCTTCACAGCCAAGAGGCTCACGCCGTTTCGCCGACCCCCAGAAGAGGATATGTGCCGCTTCCGATACTGTGTGTGAGTGAGTGTTTTGTGACGCTTCCTGCTCTGCTGCCTGCGTGTAGGTGTTCCTGATTCGTCATCCTTTTTTCAGTGTGTGTTCCGGTGCTTCAGCCTCTGACAGCCTCTTGATGCTCTTGGGTGGCCTCGGAGTGAGACAGGTACCATGCCAATCCGTGAGGCCACGAGGCCAATGGACCAGAGTCAGCCGCCAGGCGCGGAAAATGGCGAACACACAAACACACACACACACACGCACACACATTCTCTCTCTCACACACACACCACACATACACACATTCACACACACACACGCACACACGCACACGCCAACGCACACGCACACGCGCACGCGCACGCGCACGCGCAAGCGTACACGCACTCGCACACGCGCACACGCGCATACGCGCACACGTACACGCAGACGCACACACGCACACGCACACGCAGACCCGCAAGCGCATGCGCACACGCGCAAGCGCACATTCACACACACGCACACGCACACGCACACGCACACGCGCACACGCACACGCACACACGCACACGCCCACGCACACCCACACACACGGACACACAAGCACAACCCACAGACCCACCGACCCACACACAAACACGGACACACAGGCACACAGGCATTCAGGCACACATGCAAACATGCACACTTGTACACATGCACACTCGCACACGCATACACACACGCGAGCACACACACACGCACACATGCACACATGCACACACGCACACACGCACTCACGAACACGCACACGCACACACACACACACACGCACATACGCACACACGCACACACGCACACACGCACACGCGCACACGCGCACAACACACATCACACACGGCACATACAGCACACAGCGCACACAGCGCACACAGCACACACAGCGTACACAGCGCACACAGCACACACACACAGCACACACAGCACACACAGCACACACAGCACACACACAGCACACACACACACACGCACGCACTAAACGCACACACACAGAGACACACACATCCAGGCTTGAATTTCCAAAAGCCACCAGGAGCCCCGATCTCCGACGATCTGAACTTTTCAATCCTGGCATTTTTTCCTCGACTTCGGCCGCCATGGGGCCCGTTGTCGGGCTCCATGACCGTCAAACATAAGTCTGGGACGAAACGCTACGACCAGGGAAGGGGTCGGGGCCTCTGTGGCCGCGCATTGATCGAATGATCTCGGCGGATGCCTGGGAGCTGGTCTGGGTGTCCATCCTCTGTGGGTCTTTGTACTCCAGCGGCCGTTCCCGCGAGGCCCCCGCGGAGGCACCGCGGAGGCCCCCGGAGGCCCATCGGAGCCCCTTCCCCCAGAGGCCCACAACGTACAACGGACTCCGCATCTTCGGTCATCGAAAGTCTCCGCCTCTGGAAGGGCCAGGGGCCTCCACGGTCCACCTCGGCAGCTCCCGTGAGCGGGTTGAGTGGCCCATCCCTGGCCCCTCCTCTTCCTGCTGCTCCTCCTCCCCCGCCAGTGAGCGGGGTGAACGGTCCGTCCCCCAAACTTTCCTCCAATCTCTTTTCCTCCTCCTCCTCCAAAATCCTCCTCCCTCCCTCTCCTCTTCCTCCTCCTCCTCCTCCTCCTCCTCCTCCTCCGCCGCCTCCTCCTCCTCCTCCTCCTCCTTCCCCTCCTCCTCCTCCTCCTCCTCCTCCTCCTCCTCCTCCTCCTCCTCCTCCTCCTCCTCCCCCTCCTCCTCCGCCTCCTCCTCCTCCTCCGCCTCCGCCGCCTCCTCCGCCGCCTGCCTGCGGCAGCGCCCGCCTTCCCCGCTCCTTCCTCGCCGGGCCCCGCCGCTCTCCCGCGGCCCGGGTGCCGTACCCGTGGCGATGGGCGTGCTCTTCTGCGGCGTCCCTCGCTGACGCGCGGCGCCTCTGGCCAGTGACTTCAAAAAAAAACACAACATGCTCGCCGGAGCTCGTATAAGATCTGCGCGGGCCCTCGCAGCCCCCCCTCGTCCCCCCCCATGGAGTAGATTTGGTTGCTTTTGGCGCCTGCTTCTAGCACTTGGACTCTGCCCCATAGGCCGCACTGTTGCAAACAGTCGTATCAAGCAGAGGTCTGGTGCCAGACCCCCCCCCTCCCCCCCCTTCCACCCAATGTCTTGAAGGTGGATAGACCTCCTACCCTGACACGTCGATTAAGGAGTTGGCCGTTTTCGGCTCGCGGGAGGGCGTCGCGGCCGTCCTTTTTGCGGGTCCAGCTCCGTCGGTTTCGGTCCCAGGCCGTCTTCACGAAGGGGAAGTTTAGTAAAGGGAGGTTTGTCCACCGCCGATGAGACGTGAGGAGCTCCAAGGAGATGTCCGAGGCGACGAGGGCGACCAGCCCAGGGGCGGGCACCACGCGCCTTCGCCCGGGGGCCTCGCCGGAGGCATGGGACCATCGGCGCCCCCTCGCCTTCGAGGATCGAGGGAGTTGTCATCTCGTGCGCCGCGGGAGGCGGCGGAAGGGCGACAGAAGGTCGGCGGAAAGAAACCGAAGCTGCCTCCGCCGGCGGAAGCTGGCGGACGGCTGACGGATCAAGCAGTGGCGAAGCGTCTTGGCTCAACAATGTTCTAAGAACCTTTTGTGGTTCTCACGATTCTCATAACATTTCTGGTTGAGACTGTCTTGTTTGAACACGTCTGGTTACTGTTCTAAGAACGTTGTTTTTGTTCTTAGAACATTTTTGGCTTCTAAGAACATTTCTTGGTAAGAATGCCGGGACGGTCGGTCCCTGCTCAAATGGAAGGCGGCGGAAGTAAAACAAACACCTCGAAATGATGAGAACAGTTTGGGGTTCAGGTTTACGACATCCGCCACATGTATCTAGGCCTCCCAGGTGGGGTCGGAGTCGATGGGGTCGGAGGATCGCGCCGCATCGCCGATGCATCGCCGCCGATGCGGCTCGCTGTGGAGCCCGATTTGCTCCACGTCGACGTCGCAGAGGCATCGCTCACGTCGACGAGGCATCGCCGATGCATCACCGATGCGTCGCCGATGCATCGCCGATGGGTCCGCGATGCGGCGCGATCCTCCGACTCCATCTACAGTCAACCAGCATATTGAGAATGGGCATGCTTCCCAACTGTACCCTTGCATCCTTGCCTCCTCGGTCCATCCTTGGCCACCCGATGGCCGCGCCCCGCTCGCAGAGCTGCGGGATGGGCGTCCGAGGCCCTGCATCCTTATCGCGCATCTGTATGCTAGGGGCCGGCTGTACTCCGACCTCTAGGATTGTGGAAGGCGGCCCACGGAGAGGAAGCACATTGCTTTGCAATTACTTCCCAGCTGTCTAAACACATGTATAAAAAATCATGTCTTCAACACGTGTAAGCTAAGATGTCTGTATAAACCATCCATGGATTGAATATGTTTCGAACCTGCTGGGGCCCGTTCCGGGTTTTGCGCTCCCGTGGCGGTCTGTGGGGCTGTATCTTGCTTGCAGGGCCCCTGGTCTCCACCGGAGAAGAACTAGAACAGCACAGCCAGATAGATGCGCTGTATTTTTCTGGCTGATGTTCGGCGGCGCGTCGTTCCGCTCTGAGTTGTCGCTTGTGCTGACTAAAAAACCCTGAAACAAAACGCGTGCTCCATGAGAGGACTGCCGGGATGCCCACCGTCACGGCATCCACGCTGCCACACCCCCCGCGGGTCCGTCGCCCCCGCCGCCGCCCCCCGAGAAGAGCCCCCCCCGCGGCGGCCGCTGCAGGCCGCGGCGGCCCGCGCGGGGGCGTCGCCCGACGCGGCGCGGGAGCAGGCGCTGCCCGAGCCGCTTTGCCCCCTCGCCCGATTCCTTTTTTTGGGGGTGGGGGCCGCCCCCCGAGGAGAGGGAGCAGGAGGAGGAGGAGGGGGAGGGGGAGGAGGAGGAGGAGGAGGAGGGGGAGGAGGAGGGGGAGGAGGAGGGGGAGGGGGAGGAGGCGGAGGAGAGGAGGAGGAGGAGGAGAGGAGGAGGAGGGAGGAGGAGAAGGGAGGAGGGAGGAGGAAGCTTGAGGAGGAGGAGGGAGGAGAGGGAGGAGGAGGGAGGAAGGGGAGGAAGAAGCCCCCCTGGGCAGGAGAGGGAGGAGGAGGGAGGAAGAAGCCGAGGGAGGAGGTGGATCGTGCAGGGGCGAGGCGTCCTGGCGTGCCTTTTTTGGCCCTCCGAAGAATGTTCCAATAACCTCTCCTGGTCTCCACGAGAGATGTTCTCATGATATGTCTGGCTGAGACCGTCCTGTTCGAACACGTCGGGCTCATGCTCTAAGAGCACTGATTCAGCTATTCGAAGATTTCGGGGTTCTAAGCACATGTGACAATGTCGTGGTAGGCCTACACGAAAGCTGGGACGCTCGGTCTCTGCTCAACGCGAGGAGGAGGAGGAGGACGACGAGGAGGAGGAGGAGGAATATGAAAGAGGAAGGGTACCGCAACAACCACCGTCGTCTCGTTTTCGCCGTCTCTGGCCTCCTGGGAGGCCCTCGCCGCCCTGGCTGCGTTCCACCTGAATACCTGGTCAGAGCGCGCCCGCCAGGAGAGGTCCAGCCAGTAGCGGTGTCGGTACCTTGTCTGCCACCTCGAAGGAGTAGTGGGAGGAGGAGGAGGAGGAGGAGGAGGAGGAGGAGGAGGAGGAGGAGGAAAAGGAGGAGGAGGAGGAGGAAGAGGAGGAGGAGGAGGAGGAGTAGGAAGAGGGAGGAGGGACCCAGGGGCAAGTAGGGACAAGAGGGTTAGTGGTCTGTCAACGCAGTCGGGAACCATCTGCGGAGCCATCCGCCTACCTCAGAGGAAGAGGAGGAGGATGAGGAACGGAACAGGGGATGAAGACGAAGAGGAGATCGGGAGGAGGAGGAGGAGGAGAGGAGCCAAACCCATTCCCCTCCTACGACCTGCCCTGTTGAAACTCGTGGGTGGTCGAACAAAGCATCGGCACTGGTACATTACACCAGCTTCATCTGGCTGGACCTGGGGTTGCATCTTGTTGGTAATGCGGCGTGGTATCCCCCCCAGGCCAGCCCAAATTTGGTTCTATCGCAGCGTTCATTCGTTGTCCCCAGAGCTACTACCTAAGATATGCAATTTTAGATTCAACCGCAGAAGTCCAACGCATTGCACAATCCATCATGCATGTCTGTTCGCAATCTCTCTACGAGCTACGGAGGCGACGCCTTGCTGAAGCTTACCCAGAGAGCGCCTAGAAGACAGGGGCCCAGTTCAGCATGAGGGATGCAAGCTCAGACGGGATCTTCCTCCTCTAGTCCAGGATCCGTTGTTTGTTGAGCGTGTTCTATTCTTTCCTGGTCTGGGGAGGCCCTCAGGCTCCTCCAATGACTTTCCCTGCTGTCTCCCCTTCCAATCCTCCCCACAACTACTCCTTGTATGCATCCCCTTGCTCCTCGTCCTCCTCGCCCGTCCTCCTCGTCGTCCTCCCCTTTTTTCCTCGTGCTCGTCCTGTGGAGGGGTAGGGGGATACTGATTGATGCTGGTCCCGATGATGCTGATGACGCTGTTGTTGATGGTGGTAACGATGATAATGATGATGATGATGCTGATGCTGATGATGATGAATGTGATGAGTGGTATGATGATGGTGATGATGATGATGCTGTTGATGATGCTGTTGATGATGGTGATTGTGATGATGATGATGATGATGATGATGATGATGATGATGATGATGATGATGATGATGATGATTCTGATGCTGATGCTGATGATGATGACGATCATGATACTGATGATGGTGTGGATGATGCTGGGTGAGGATTAGAATGAGGGTGATCAGGATATTGATGATACTGATTATATTGATGTTGATGATGCTGATGATGACGACGAGGACACGGAGGACGAGGATGAGGATGTTGAGGATGTTGAGGATGAGGAGGAAGAGGAGGAGGAGGAGGAGGAGGAGGAGGAGGAGGAAGAGGAGGTGGACGAGGGGAGGTGGAGGATGTGGAGGAGGAGGAATAGGAAGAGAAGGAGGCGGAAGATGAGGAGGAGCAGCAGCTAGAGGAGGAGCAGCAGTCCCACGCGTTGCCCTCCCCCCCCCCGACCCCGAGACGCCGAAGAGGGCCTCGGTGGCCGCCGTCGAGGCGTGCCCCGTGCCGCTGCCCCCCTCCTCCTCGGCCTCGAGGCATCGGCGCGCGGCAGCGGAGGTCCCCACGCAAGATCGGGGGCGGCCAAGAGGGGTCGTTCCTATCGCCTGCACTTTTCGAGGACGAGAGAACGCCACAAACATAATTTGTTGGCGGTCCGCGCGGACTTCTTGGATGCCCTCCCGGCGGCGTCTCTGGCGCCGCCCCTGGCGCGCTCCGCGCGCCAGGGAGGGGGGTCCAGCGCGCAGATCCAGGAAATCAGCGCCAACAGTGGCGTTTTTTTCTTCTACTACCGCCTGCTCCTTCCCCCTTCCCTCGGCGTCAACCCAGCATGCTAATATTATGCGTGCGTCGTCTTTCAAAGGGGCGACGCGCGCGCCGAGAGCTCTTAATGGTGCAAGCTCCATACCGGCCATACCGGTCGGGGAACGATCTATTACAAATTGGCTGTACAATACGTTAGGGTCGTGCACACGCCTCCAAGTAGGACGCATAGAGGCCTCGGACGAAATTAGCGAACAGTCTTGCCAACATCGTCAGTCCATGCTCCGATCCCCAACGCTCCGAGTTGGCGGTGGGTTGAACAAGGTGCACTTCGACCGCAGTCTGCCCCGCGCGTGCCGCCTTTGAATTTGGGAGAGAGGGGGGGGGTTGTCCACGAATTGCTCCCCTCTACCGCATCATGGCGGGGGCCATGATATCTCCACATCTCATGGCCCCGATGTTTCTATCAATACGCCCCCTGGTCCGCTCCTGGGCCGCGCATGTGCCTCGGTCGGGCTGTGATCTACGCCCCCCCCCGCCCCCTGCTGCACGCCCCCCCCCTCTTGGACGCTCCCGAGGAATCGGAGGGCCACGTGTGAGAGCGACCCTTTGTCGGGGCGATCTCCGGTGCCGGCCTCCAGCCAGGAATCGACCAAAAAAGATAGTGCTTCTAATGTTCGTTATGTTTGCGTGTTTCCTCGTGGTGTCTTCGTTTTACCTCTGGCTGCAAAGCGAAGTCAAAAAGAGAGTGGCCCACGGAATCGCCAAACCATCGCTCAGGTCGAGCCCTGCCTCCAGGAAGGGCAGGTGGGCTCGCTGGGGTCCCTCAGGGGGACAACGTCAGTCTTCGAGCTGCAAGAAGCGGGGGTCCACGCAAACGGGGACCAGCCACAGCGCCGAATCGTGCAGGATCCTGCAGGGCCGTGTCTGCACTGACCCCTGCAGGATCTTGCAGAGCCTGGCTGCCCAGGGTGTGCATGGACCCGGATCAGTGCGTCCGTACAGTCTGTGCATGCCTCCCAGGTGGGGTTGGAACAGATGGGGTCGGAGGACCGTGGCGCATCGCGGATGCACCGGCGATACATCGGCGATGCGCCTCGATGTGGAGCCCGACTCTCTCCACGCCGGCGCCGCTGATGCATCGCCGATGCATCGCCGATGCATATTCGATGCATCTGCGATGCGGCGCGATCCTCTGACACCCTCTGCCCGGAGCCCATCTACAGTCGGCCCAGATTAGTAGGCCGACCCTGCCAAGTCAAGGGTACCCTTGTGTCCTGCGTTTTGCGACCCATGCCTTCGGCATTCCTGCGGCACTGTGGCCCTCGGAAGGGTCTTTGTGTCCGTTCGCGGCTCCTCTTCACTGTTCACTGGGGGCATTTTTTGTATTTGTTTTACCATTTGGGAGCATTTTTTTGAGTATGTTTTATTCTTCGTCGAAAATCCCTCTGTAGGGGGACACGCCCGACTCAATGTTGCCGCCGCTCCCCCTTCGAGCGGCGGCGCCTCGCTGAGAGGGTTCTCTGCCGGAGGAGCCCCGACGGCGCCCCGAGCGGCGGCCGGAGAGCCGAGCCGTGACCCGCAAACGGGGTGGGGCAATGTGAGGGGTGGACAGTTTTCTTATTCACTATTCTCATTTATGGTTTTGCTCGTTCTCTGATTCATTTTCTGATTCGTCGTGCTGCCGATCCGCGCGGGCCCTCCCTCTCCCCCCCTCCCCCCCCCTTCCTGGAGCAGATCTTGGTTGGTTTTGATGCATTGTTCAAGCAGGTGGAGTCTTATTACACATGAGACGCACGGTTGCGAACAGTCGCGTTGAGCAGAGGTCTGGAGCCAGACCCCCCCCCCTTCCCCCTCCACTTTCGCTTAATGTCGAAACGCCGAATAGGAAAACGTTCACTAGCAAATCATGGGAGCTTGGTGTACCCGCTTAATTCCATCTTTAGCGTCGACTAGCGTCGATTAGCGTCTGGGGGTCGATGAGGTCGCCTGATTTAGCTCCGGGGAGCGTCGAAGAGCTTCGATTTAGAGTTGCTTAGCGTCGATGTAGCGTCGACCATCGTCGACTTGCAAGAGCGAGTAAGACGGTATGGAAGGCTCCCATGAGTTGCCACCGAAGGGGACAAGGTCAGGGGGGGATGCATCGACCCCCAACCTGACAGGCCTGGAGGTTGACACCAGCACCAACATCGGCGGTGTGCCTCCACCGAGGGAAAAGAAGATCCCCATTTCGGTGATGGTGGTACCATCCTGGCTCCCAAGGGGACCGAAGTATTACCATCAACACCTCGAAGAAAGACGCCATACATAGAAACCTTTGGCGCTCCGCGCGTATTTCTTGGATCGGCTCCTGCTCCCCCTGGCGGCGCTTCCAGCGCCGCCCCTGGCGCGCTCCGCGCGCCATGGAGGGGGCGGGGGGTCCAGCACGGATCCAAGAAATCCGCGCGGAGAGCCAAAAGCTTATATTTATGGCGTTTTGTTCTTCTTCCAACGCCGAATTCTAGTATTCATCTTTCCCCTGTGGAGGCCCCCCTGTGTCGGTAGTGGTGCCCACTTCCAGGCTTCAGTCGGTCGGGGCTGGCCCTCTACAGGAGTAAAATCAAAAATAGTCAAAACATAGTCTGGGGACGATGTTTCGACCGTTTTTGAGTATTTGTGATTTCTCGTCCAAACTCCGCCTGTAGGGGGACACGCCTGATATAATTCCAGGCCTCCAACGCAGGTAGTCGCCCACAGTTAGATCGCCGACGGTGTTCGGGAGGGCGAGGTAGAGGCCTCGACGTGCTCGTGTCGCGACAAGCACCATAAGGGGTTTTTGTCGGCAGTCCTCGGCCTCCGGCGGGGGGCCGCTGCCGGGGCCCCGGGGCCGACGAAGAAAAGGTCGCGATGAACAGTAGTTGGTCCTCGGGAAAGGGTGCCGACTTCGGGGGAACCGAGCTGTGATCGTTCTCCTATGTGTTGCTTTCCCGATCGGCGCGGGCCCTCGCACACCCCTTCTCCCGTTTGAGTTCTGCGCATGACAGGGCGCCGCCGAAGCACCGAGGGACAGGTCGTCGTTTCCTTTCTCGTGGCTCTGCCGATCGGCGCGGGCCCTCGCAGCCCCCCCTCGTCCCCCCCCTATGGAGTAGATCTTGGTTGCTTTTGGCGCCTGCTTCCAGCAGGTGGACTCTGCCCCATAGGCCGCACTCTTGCAAACAGTCGCATCAAGCAGAGGTCTGGTGCCAGACCCCCCCCCTCCCCCCCCCTTCCACCCAATGTCTCGGAGGTGGATAGACCTCCTACCCTGACACGTCGATTAAGGAATTGGCCGTTTTCGGTTCGCGAGAGGGCGTCGCTGCCGTCATTTTTGCAGGTCCAGGTCCGTCGGTTCCGGTCCCAGGCCGTTTCCACCGAGGGGAGGTTTACTAAAGGGAGGTCTGTCCACCGCCGACTGTCGAAACGCCGAAGATGAAAACGTTCACCGCGGCAACGCCACGGGGCCCGACGCAATGCAACCTGGAACGACCGGGGCCTCGATCGACTCGAGGCTGAGCGATCGACGCTGCGTCGAGAACCTCTGCGCGCGCCGACTCCGCACGAGCCTCCCAGATCCAGATCCCACGCTTCTCGCGATCCTCGGGGGCCTGTCCAACAGCTGTTGGACGGGCGAAGCCGCAGCACGCCATGCCCAGGTGGGGCCCGCTCCCGGTGCTTTCCGGAGGGTTCTTCCGTCGGGGGCGGAAAAGAGGGGGATGATGACTAGGGGGGGGGGGGATTTCATGGCGCGGGCCATGATTTTTCCCCAGAGTTCATGGCGCCTCTTCTTATTTCAGTACGTCCCAGGCCCCCCCGCTGAGCCGCGCACATGCCGCCGGTCATGATTTGCACCCCCCCTTTTGGACACCCCCCCCTTGGCCGCTCCCGAAACGCTCAGGCTGCTGGGCGTTGTGTGCCATCTTTAGGCCTTTGGGAGGTCTTGGGAGGCCTTCGCGGGGACTTTCTGGAGGCCTCCGCGGGGACCTCTGGAGGCCCCGAGAGACAGCAGTGAGAGCCAACCCGAACCTGGGAACGTATAGGGTAGCGTTCCGTGTTGCAGATGTCTTGCAAGTCTGCACTGGTTGTTTTGCACGCGTTCCCTCTCTCTCTCTCTCTCTTTCTGTCTCTCCCAGTCGTTTTCTCTCCCTCCCCTTCCCACTCGTGACGCCCATTTCGGTTCTTTCCGCTCCCCCTGACACGAATTCCTCCAGACGGGAACTATTCTAGTGCATATTCCTCCGAGCCAAGACGGATGCGGGTGTGCTGTCTCTTGTGGAGGCGATGTGTTGGTTGATGTCTTTTGGTGCAACACAGGCGTTGCGCTGGTCACTCTCGGCGTCAGGCTTTGCTTCCGAAGTGTAGTTGTGCCGTGCAGGCGTTCCGTGCTTCTGGCAGTGCAACTTGACATTGGATGGGTCTCTGTTGGGTCCAACGGGTTCTCTGTTGTGACGCGTACTTGGATACTTCGCACGCGCCTCTTCGGCTAATTATCTTCGATCTGCGCCCCGTTCGATGCACCGCTTCCTGACCTTCGCCTGGGAGCCGCCAACCAAAAAATACTTGGATACAAGGCACGTGCTCGGCGTGCGGCGATTCCTCACCCAGGATCGGCTGCGCCCTTCTGGCCACGCGGGCCTCCATAATGCGTAGCTGGCCGCGCCTGAGCCGGGCCGCGGTCGTCTACGAGCATCCAGGCCTGTCCAACGGGCCGGGCGCAGATGCGTCGCTTCTGCATCGGCGACACGGAGCCATTTGGAGCATGCTTTTTTCCATCCCGCCGTCGCCGATGCATCGGCCATGCGGTGCGATCCTCCGACCCATGTGCTCTGGCCCTACTTGAGAGGCCTCTCGAGCATGCCAAGATTGCCGTCTCCTGGACTCCCCGCCTTTTGCTGCCTCTCCCGAATTATTATTGTTCTTCTCATAACCTCCCTCAAGCACAGGCGCTGAGAGTGTTGCTTGAAAAGTTATAGAAGGCGATCTCTAAAAAAGCAAGGTTGCTGTTCCACAGGCAGTATGTAGCATGCGCGCAGCATGTCGCGTCTCTCTTCTCTCGCTCGTCGGACTTTGATTAGTGTTGAGCCGATGTAGCGCGCGACATGGCGTGTGAATCAATGAAGGAGGAGGCGGTGGAGGAGGAGGAGGAGGAGGATTCTGATGAGGAGGAGGAGGGGAATGAGGCGGATGAGCACTGGGAAGGAATATTCGATAAGGGGACGACGATGAGACGGAGGAATAGGATGGAGATGCTGATTCAGAGGGCGTGAGAGGCTTATCATGAGGACGACGATGAGGGTTGAGGAACATAATAACGCGAAAGAGGATGATTCCATGGTGTAGAGGATGAGGATCAGGAGCATGATGTGTAAGAGGCGCATGATGAGGAGGCGTCGCACGAGGAGGAGGTGCTGGATGAAACATCAGAACGATAACCACGCGGCGGGAGGATGCGCAGGACAGATGATGGAAGCATTATGAGAATGGATGCGGGGGGATACGGGTGGAGCATCGTCAGGGGCGGACCAGTGAGGGGTTGAGCATGGAGTAGAAATGCGGAAAAAGAAGGATGATGGTAGTGAGGATGCGGGTGCGAGGACGAAGGGGAGGAATTAGAGGAGGACGGTGGGATGATTACGGTGGAAGTAGGAGGGGTGAAGGAGAGAGAAGAGCAGAGGACGGACAAGAAGAGAAGAGGGTGGGATATATATATATATAGAGAGAGAGAGAGAGAGAGAGAGAGAGAGAGAGAGAGAGAGATAGAGCGAGAGAGAGAGAGAGATAAGGCGGAGGGGAGGGGAAGGGCGAAGGAGGGCGTCGGGCGGGTGGTAATGGGGGGTGGCCTCCTAAATGGAAGGTGGAGAACAAATTGTTCCCAAGGGGCCCTTCAGGGCGCCTTTTGTGGAACCGGCAGTGGCCCAAAAGGGGCCGAGGGACGGGACGATGAGGTGCGGCAGTGGGGAGGGGGCGGAGCGGCAGGGGAGGAGGAGGAGGAGGAGGAGGAGGAGGAGGAGGAGGAGGAGGAGGAGGAGGAGGCGGAGGAGGAGGAGGAGGAGGAGGAGGAGGAGGAGGAGGTTGAGGAGGAGGAGGAGGAGGAGGAACGATGAGATGGGTGAGGAGGGGGAGCGCGTGGACAATGACAAGGACTTCCTCGGAACTCTCTGGTCTGCCTTCCTCTCATCTTTCCCACGCCCCTCCTCCCACCCCCGTCTGCTCCTACGATTGAGCTCCGGCGGGGGATGCGCGTGCAGCGCCGGTCCTCGAAGCCGCTGCGAGGACTTGGGGCCGTCGAACATGGCGGCGACGCGGGCCGGGACCGCCTGGGGGGTGGGGCTGCCGGTTGGACAGAGGGGGGCGACGACGACGGCGAGGGCGGCGGTGGCGGTGGCGGCGGCGGGGATGACGGCGCGAGGGGATTGAGAGGGAGAGAGAGAGAGAGAGATTTTGAGAGAGAGAGAGAGTATTGAGAGGGCGAGAGACAGAGAAAGAAACAGAGAAAGAAAGAGAGTGAGAGAAAAGCAGGAGAGCGAGGGAGAGAGACAGAGAGAGAGAGAGAGGGTCGAGCGGGAGACATAGATGGCGTGGACATTCGTGGCCTGTTTTCGTGGTAGCTCGGGTCATTCAGGAGGGGAAGTGTGCACGAGACAATGAGAGAGAGAGGGAGGGAGCGGGAGGGAGAGAGAGCGCAACAGTTTGGACGGCAGGTCGTCCAGGCCTGGCGGGGCTGGACTGCCGCACCGTCCTGCCTCACCGAGGCGGGAGGTGCCCCGCAAGACAGACAAAGGGTGGGGAACAAGCAGCTTCCCCCCGGGCGCAGCCTGCTGTCAGGCGGTCGCAAGCACGGATTCAGGGGGCGTGGATTAGCGACGGGTCCCGTTCCCATGGTACATGGCGGGTTTCCGCCGCCGAGCGAGGCGGCACTGGCCGCATTTTTCTGAGGGCACCTCGCCCGACCCGTGGATTTGGCGACCGCCAATCCACGTTTGCGCGCCCCCGACTGTGGGAGACCCCGGCTTGCTAGGAAAAAAGCGGGGTCTGTGGCGATCGGGGCGTGGCACGCCCCGTCCGCACACCCGAGCAGAAGGCGCCGGCTTGAAGCGCGCTTTGGCATGCGCGCCTCGGGGCATCAGTGAACTGTTGCGCCGCCCAGGGTTAAGTCGGGCCTGTCCCTCTACAGGAGGAACATTCAACAATAGTTTAAGAAAAATCAGGGGGCGATTTCTTGAGCATTTTCCGAAGACTCTTGAGTATTCTTTTACTATTTATTTATTTTCCGTCCGAAATCCCCCTGTAGAGGACAAGCCCGACCCAAGCCCAGGGGCATCCCCCGCGGCGTCCCAGAGCAAAGGCCGCGGAACACTTGCCAGCTGTTCTCGCAGCGCATTGGGGAGAGGAAAGGCCAGTGGTGGTGTGCTGGCGGTGCGCATCGAGGTGAGCCTGGAGGCTTCCCTGGAGGGTGACCCCGAGAGATGTGGTCATCAGGAGGGAACAAAAATCACACAGACACAATTAATCGTCCACTCCCAGGAAAATATAGGAAAATATGGGAAGTGGGGGGGGGGAAGACAAAAACCCAGAAGATATGGGAAAATATGGGGAATCCTGTTATTTGTATGTATTTCTTTGTGTGTCCCAGGGCCCCTTCAGGTCAGTCCGAAGGCTTGTTGCAGGCCATTCGAGGCGGACGGAGCTCGCTAGCCATGTCCAGCACAGGGTTAGATTACTCCTGGATGGTAGGTAGTGTCTGCGCAAGGTTAGTGTTAAATAGGGCCTGTCCCTCTACAGGAGGAATATCCAAAAATAGTCAAACAGTACTCAAGGGACGATGTTTGAATTTTTGTCTGACCATTTGGGGTATTTTTGGACTATCTCTTCTTGTTCGTCTAAAAGCCACCTGTAGGGTGACATGCCCGACCTAAGGTTAGTGGCACGCTGTTGCAGCGCCGTGATTCTAGCGATGGGACCCGTCTTGCGTTCCCGATATGGCCGTTGCCTGGTAGCCGCAAGGTGCTGCGTGAGGGCGCGCCTGCGATCCGTTCGCTGCGCTGGTGTTTCACGGGTTCTTGCTCCCCCTTGGTGGTAGGGCGGTCGCCAGTCCCCGTACCCTGGTGGGCCATGGTGGACTTCCGCCCCTTGGGCACCGCGCCAGGATGCTTTCACTGACGCCAGCGTGTGCGTTCGTCGTCGGGTTGTGACCTTCGCTATCGCGACCTCCTGATGGAGTAACAGGGGTTTCGTCATCAGTGGGTCCTCTTCTTCTCTTTCGAAGTCGTCGGATGGGCCCCCCCATGGGTCGTCAAAATCGTCGAGGAAGTCTGGCCTTGGTGGGCTTTGCGTTTGCGAGGGCTCGCCATGTGAGCCTGGTGGTTCGTTTCTTCCTTGCCATAGGGTGAGCGGCTTGGGGTTCATCTTGTGGAGTGACCCCTAGAGTAGCCCGCACGCGTCTGTTAAGGGCAACGTGTGGTGGCGACGGTCATCGATCGCGGCCAGTGTTGTGGAGAACTGCCGCGCATTTGTGTCGCCATTTGGCTCCGTTGATGAAATTATGCTGCAGTATATGCAGACGTGCTTCGGCTGCGGCGTGCTTTGGCTGCTGAGGTATCGGCGCGACTCGGTCTCCATTTCTGCTTTGCTCGCCGCGACGACTTCAGACTCTCTGGACCTTGAACATATCAGGTTTGGCTTCCAGCACGCGATGGAGTGTTTGCCGGAGATTGGCCTGCACTCCAGTGATTCGCGGTGGCTTTCCTGCGAGGGTGGCTCCACATCCGTCGGCGACGGCTTGGCTGCCCAGGAAGAAGTAGCCACCCCGTGGAGCAGGGCGAGGGTCTCAGCGCGTTGCGCGGAGAAGGCCAGGCCGCGCGCCCGAGCTGGATGGTTTAGCCCGCGGGCAGACCCGTAGTAAGACTAGGGCTGGACCTAAACGTTGCGTTGCTGGACTTCGGCTGTGTTCTGTTTTTGATATTTGGCAGGGAGGTGCAGGAAAGCAGGCAGAGCAAAATTCACACAAACAAAGGGAAACCAGAACCAACAACAACGTTCAGGCCCAGCCCTGCAGCAGGCTCCAAAAATCCGGCCCTGGCAGGGAGGAGGTGGGCCCGGGTGCGTGGTGCCGCGCGGGCCGGGAGCGGGACGAGGCAGGGGCAGGGGGAGGGGAGGAGGGGGGGGAGGAGGAAGGGGGGAGGAGGAGGAGGAGGAGGAGGAGGAGGAGGAGGAGGAGGAGGAGGCGGAGGCGGAGGAGGAGGAGGAGGAGGAGGAGGGAAGGGGAGGGGGGGGAGGAGGAGGAAGGGAGGAGGAGGAGGAGGAGGCAGGGGCAGAGGAGGGAGGGAGGGGGAGGAGGGAGGGGGAGGGGGGAGGAGGAGCTAGCTCACCAGGGTCCTCCTGCCTGCCCTGGCCGCATCCCTCGGCCCCCTCCCTCGGCCCCTCCGCCTTCCCTGACACTTGTTCTCATCCATTATCCTCGATCTCCTTGTTCTCACGGAGATGCGATCTTCCTGATCTCGTCTTCCGCCTCGTTCTATTTTCCCCCTTCCCCCTCCATCCGCGTTTGCCTCATCGCTCCAAGACAAGATCCCCCCCCCCTCGATCCTCGTCTTCCCCCCTCGTTCCAGGACGGGTGGGGCTCTTTGAGACGCGAGAATAATAGGCTGTGCAACCATAACCTGTCCTATTCAGGCGACCGTCGAAGAATCCCGATCGATTCGTTGGATTGCGGATTGCATATGATGGGCGGTATGTTTATTTAAGTCAGGCATATTCTACAGGAGGAATATTCCAACATGAGCCAAACCTACTTCGGGGACGAATGTTCGAGTATGTTTGACCATGGTTGAGTATGTTGTGTCTATGTTTAGAATTTCTTCCAAACTTCGCCTGTGGGAGGGCAGGCCCGACCTAAAGGTATGCTCCTCGTCCTCCTCGTACCCTCCCCCGTGCCTCCCCAGACGTGCAGTGCCTTGCTGCTTTCCAGCACGGGGTCCTCCTCCTCCTCCTCCTCCTCCTCCTCCTCGTCGTCCTCCTCCTCCTCCTCCTCCTCGTCGTCGTCCTCCTCCTCCTCCTCCTTGGTGTTCCATCCCGTGCGGGTTCCGTGGACGGCCCTGGGGGGGGGGGGCCCGGCGTGGGCGCCCCTGCTGGAGGCCGAACGCGGGCAGGCGCATCCCGTCGACGACTTTTTTTCAGGAGGGGGCAGAAAACACACGGACACAATGGATCGTCGATTCCCCAGGCAATATGGGAAAGTATGGGAAGTGGGGGGGAAGACAAAAACCCAGAGAATATGGGAAAATATATGGGAATCCTGTCATTTGTGTCTATTCATTTGTGTGTGTCCCAGGGCCTCTTCATTTTTGTTCGCCACGCGAGCACGTTTGTTTGTAAGGGTCCGGCCGCAGCCTCCGCCCCCCCTCTGGATAACCTGACCCTGACGGTTGCGCAGTTCCGACGGGGATGTACGCAGCATGTACCCCTCGGTCGTTGAAAGTAGGTGCTTCTGGACTTCCATGTTCTAATCTACCTCAAGCGCCTTCCTACTTCAATGATCGAGTGGCTTCACCCCTTCCGTCGTCCCAAGGGGGGCGGGCGGAACCCACTTCTCTTGGAATGTCTTCCTCCTCCATGCTTCTACCTACTTCTGCCGACCGATGGGTGCTGGTGCGCACGGGCAGGACCCAGAGCGAACAGGTTCTGTCATCGGCCAGCACCTCCGCCCCCTCGTGCGGATAACACCAGGCAGCCGTGATTAAAAAACGGGTTCCCATCCGCGCCCCCTTTTTTTCCCTGACGTTCAGAGTGATAGAGAATAGCCCTCCAGACCTTTGGAGCTACCTGGACTGCGTCAAGGTCATATGCAATCCGACCGAGGCATAATATAACATTGAGGTCGGTTCGGGGAGGGTACCCTAATGTTCTTCGTTTTTGCTGGATGTTCTTGTGCATACTGGGGGGGTACCCTTGGATCTTCTCTCTGTGCTTTTGCTTTTGCCCACGGAGAGTCTCATGCTCTTGAGGGAGGTGCTTCTGGCCCAGGTCCGACCGTTGGTGATGTTGCTTGGCGCTCCTGGAAGGTCAGGGCTGCTACGGGAGCGGCTCCCCCCCACACCTTGTTGTCTCTGACGAGCGGGGACAGGCGCGACGCGCGGCCGCGGGCGCCTGGCGAAGCCCGGCTCAGTCCGGGGCCCTCGGGAGTTCCGCGAGGCGCTGCGCCGGGATGCGCGCGGAGTCTGCCCCGCTGCCCCCAGCGAGGCACACGTCACTTCACCGAGGAGGAGCGTCGCCTGCCCGCGCGCGGGCAGCTGTGCCTTCCGCCCCGGGCAGCTGCTCCTGCCCCCCCCCCCCCCCTGCACTGCCCTAGGCCTCCTAGATGGGGTCCCAATAGAGGGGGTCGGAGGATCGCGCCGCATCGCCGATGCATCGGCGGTGCGGCTCGACGTCGATGTGCTTCACGTCGACGTCGCCGATGCATCGCCGATGCATTGGCGATGCGGCGCGATCCTTCGACCCCCGCCTGCTCGGACCCCATCCATAGGAGGCCTCGAGCTGCTGTGCAGAGGGGGGGGAGGGGGCCGCCCTCCCCCGGGCAGGAGCCCGCCGCCGCTGCTGGTGATGGGGCGCGACGGGCGCGAGCGGCGCTCCAAGGCACTTCTGCCGGCCGCCCTCTGCCCTCTGCCCTCCTGGCCGGCAGGCGGAAGGGCAGGGGGGCCCCTGTTGAGAAGCAATCAGGAGGGGAAAAACACACACAGACACAATTAATCGTCCACTCCCTGGAAAGTATGGGAAGATATGGGAAGTGGGGGGGAAGACAAAAGCCCAGAAAATATGTGAGCATATGGGGAATATTTTTATGTGTGTGTGTATTTATTTGTGTGTGTCCCAGGGCCCCTTCAAGCAAGCAGTGGCGAAGCGTCCTGGCTCGCCTAGAGCCCTAGCAAACAATGTTCTAGGAACCTTGTGTGGTTTCCACGAAGTGTTCTTAGAACAGTTCTGGCGGAGCCTGTCTTGTTTTATCACATCGGGATTACGTTCTACGAACACTGTTCGTGTCATTAGAACATTGTTCGGTTCTAGGAAGATTTCGTGGTAGGACTATGGGAATGCCGGGACGATCGGTCCGTGCTCAATGCTGCTTGCCTCCAATCTGCCCTGGGTTCCTTGGGTTTCGATGGTTTTGCGACGGAGAGCGTGCCGTTCCCACGCCAAGAATCATTCTATGGACGTCCTGGGGTCAATGGACGTCCCGGGGTCTCATGGTTGGGTTTCTCTTGTGGAAGCTTTCTTGTGGACTGGCCTCCACTATAGGAGCCGTCCAGGGGTCTGACCCAGAGATCCGACGCTCCGACAAGAAATTAAAGCGGCGGGTTTCTTGGCAGCTTTCGGCCTCCTTGGGCCCGCGCCGGGCTCCGGGGCCGTCAACACGCGACTCAGGGGACCAAAGTTGGCACCAGGGAAGCGTTCCAGACCTCCGGGGCCCACGCATCGAAAACATGGGAGCAGCCCGATGTCTGGGGAGGTGGCCCCGCACTGGGCCCCTCAGCAGTGGGTCCAGGGTGAACCAGCAATGCGTCAGATCGACCCTGGGAGTGGCCGGTTTTTTGAGCGGATGCGGCTCCATTCCCCCTCCTGGCAGCTTTTCTGGGGCCCCAACAACGTCAGATCCTGGCAGCCTCCAGCTTCAAAGAGGGAGCCCCTGAGGGATGGGGCCCCGAGGACGAGTGCTGTCAAGCACTGGAGACCTAGAGGCTGGCACCATCGCCAATGTCGGCGGCGTGCCTCCACTGACGGAAGGTGATGCCGATCTCAGTGATGTTGATACCACCAACACGAGAATCAAGGATCATCGTCTCCAGACGGACGGACCCCCTTGTTCTAGTGTTCGTGTTCATTTCCAAGATTCCAAGCAGTGGAGGTTCTGCCTGGGATCCCTTTCACATCCTTATGGCCCCATCCCTCAGGACCCCATCTTTGAGCCGCCGAACTGGGGAGGGGAGGGGGAGGGGGACAGTCAAATGTTTCACACGCCTTGTTACCCCCGGCAAGCGGGGGTCACCGGTTTTCAACAATCTATGGGGGCGGTTCGTGGTTTCTTCCTTTTTCGGGGTGGTTGCCGAAACTTGATTTACTGGAATCGCCAACCTACTCCATACTTCAACCCTCTTTGTTTCAGAACGGCCTCTGCCATGATGCGTGCGAAGCCAGCTTTGTTTTACTCGGTGGTCTTGTATGGCGCAGCCAGTGCGGTATTTGCCGTCTAGCATCAAGCCTCGAGTTGTACTAGTTTGTCTGATCAGATGTGCTGTGTCCACTGAAGGAAATCATGTGTCAGCTTGGTGCAGGCGAAGGGAGTGTGCGTAACTCACGTGTCAGATATTTGTGAATTGTGACGGCGACCCGATAGTGTTTTGACTATGCCATTGGCCAGTAGATGCTGAATGTGGTATTCGTATTATATCGCACGACAAACAAGGTACGGCTCGGACTGACGAGCATACGTACCGTATGCATGACTCAGAGGGTTTAGACAGGGCAATCTTGCCAGGGTCCCACCCCCACAAGAAGTCTGCACGTGCGAATCCAACACCACGAACCAAAGAAACGGGCATACATTTGTGTGTATTTACGCTGTCCTGCTGAATATTCCTTCAGGAGGGTCGAGTTTGTCAGGCTGCGTCAGGGACGTGCTAATGGGAGGCATCACCTTGACGTGATATTGATTCTAGAGGTCTTGAATTGTAAAGTGCCGTCGCACTGTACTTTTAGAGCAGCCAGGTGCACGATGCTGACAGTATGTTGCGATACAGTGATGTGGTTGGTCTTGGCATCAGTCCGCAAGCTCGTCCACTTGGCTGGTGGTTTCGAGCATGCAATCGCCGCAGGTCTCGGATATGCCCTCGACGATGAACCCGCAGGACCCGCTTTGTACAGAGTGCACCGCCAGGTTGAATTGCGAGCTATTCGGTGTGTACGCGCACTCCGAGGTTGGGTGTTGTCTTAAGACGGTGTAACGTCCTCGTGCGCATGGTCTGGACATGCAGCAAGCTTTGTGAGAGGTACCAGGTGCACACGAAAGCGAGATGGTCAAGATGTTCGCTGCAGGGCAGTGGAGAGCAGGATGGGCGCGAGGAGGAGCGCAAGAGCAGCGCACGCTGGGAGGGCATGGGGAGATGGGGTGGTGGTCAGCGAGATGGGCTCACCGAGGAGAGAAGAGAGGGGGGGCCGGTGACGAAAGAGGGAGGAGGCGGAGAAGGTACAGGCGATGCACCGAGGATCGAACTTCTCATTCAACCGTGTGTGCGCTCAGGGGTTCTTATCGGCGTCACCCCAACATACTAATACAAAATGTGTGTCGCCCCCCCAGGGGCGACGCGCGCACCGAGAAGTCTTACAGCAGATGCATCGTGGCGGGCGCTCTCTGGCCACACCGCTCGGGAAACGATGCACTGCAAGAGGGGTCTACTACTTGTTCAGGTCGGCCGCGCGCCTCCCAGGCGGAGAGGACATATGTCTAGAAAGTCCAGGGTTCGCGAGGGACTGGTGTCCTTTCAAAACAGCCGAAGCCCTCTCGAAACCCTCCGAAAACCCTCCCGGAAGGGTCCCAAGAGGCTTTTCCGAGGGTTTCGGGAGGGTTTGGGCAGGGTTTTCGTCGTTGTGGGGGGGAACCGGTCCCTAGACTTTCTAAGCATACAGTATGAGTATGGCTCTGTGCGTCCCCCACCCAAGGATTCGGATGTGGTCAGCAGAGGCTTCGTCGGGTGCCCAACCAGTGGGGGCGCCTCGTGCGCTGGGGTCGGGCGGCCGGCGTTGGAAGCCCGTGGGCGCCTCGTGGGCGCCGCGTGCGCTGGGCGGCCGCATCGTTTTGGCGGCAGACCTGCACCGCACGCCTCGCACCGTATAGCTTGCACCCAGCAGCTTGCGCCGCACACCGCTTGCACCGCACGGGGTGCTCCGTGCATCTTATACATGCGTGCATCTCCAGAGAGTTCGCCGTCCTCCCGTCCACGACGCCGTCTGGCTCCCACGACACACACACACACACACGCACATATATATATATATATATGTATACATATAGATTGCACCACGTTGCACAGCTTGCGCCTTATAGCCGTCCAGCTTCCACGACGCCGCCTGGCTACCACGACATAGAGATTGATTGCACCACGTCGCACAGCTTGCGCCGCACAGCCTGAGCCTGCACGACATAGAGCTCGTGCCGCGTGGCCTGCACCGCGTCAGCCTGCAGCACGTGGCTTCCACCCCTTGCATTTTTCACTGTGCATAGTCTGTGCCACGCAGTCTGCACCACGCAGAGCTCACACCTCCGCAGCGCAAAACCACCTGCTGCTTTGGGCCGCGCCGGCATCTGCTCGCTTGCTTGTTCTCTCGCTCCCCTCTGGTTGCCTGCTGGCTGCGGACCCTCGCCAGGACGAGCCCCCGGCCCTGGTGCAGGCGGCTGCGCCCGGCCGCCAGACTGAAGTCGGGCACGTCCCGCTACAGAAGGGATATCCAAAAACAGTCCAGGAAGATGGTCGGGGGACGATGCTTTTGATTTTTGTTGCGGCATTCTCTGACCATGTTCTGTTATTCTTCCCAGATCCGCCTGTAGGAGGACGTTCAGAGCGTGAATTACCTACCCCGCCTTCGCTTCCAGGCAAAATCAAGTCATACCACGCGCCTCCTCGTCAAGCGGCCTGACCAGCGCAGGCCGTAGTCTGGCGTCGCTTGGAATCTCTTGGAAGCGAGGATGGCCAGAAGCGAGGCAGGCCCTAGACGTGCCCGACCCGACGCCAGACAGTCAAGGAAAATGGTCGGGGGGCGATGCTCTTGATTTTTGTTGCGGCATTCTCTGACTATGTCCTGTTCTTCTTCCCAGATCCGCCTGTAGGAGGACGTTCAGAGCTTGAATTGGAAGCGAGGGTGGTCAAAAGCGAGGTAGGTTTGTTTGCGCCCTAGACGTGCCCGACCTGACGCCAGACTCGCCCCCGCTCCCCGCCTCCCCGCGACCCCCTGCCGAGCACCTGTCCGCGCGGGCGGACGCCCCGCTCTCCCCACGGGCGGGCAGCCCAGGCCCCCCCCCCCCCCGTGGCGCCGCGGCAAACGACCACGACGGGAGGCCCCGGGGCTGGCAGCAAGAACGCCTCCAGGCGACAGGGGGGAGGTCTCGGGACCGGACCTCCCGGGGGGGACCCCCCTGACTCGGGGCTCCTCCAGGGGAGAGGCCCGGGACCGGGCCTTCCCCCCCCCCCTGCAGGACCTCCACGCGCCGTGAAAACATCACGACGGAGGTTCTGGGCCATTTTCGGCCTCCGGGGGCCTTCGCCGGGCCTCTGGGCCGTCCGAAGACGCCCCATGGGACGAAACACCAGTCCCGGGGAAGGGGTCCAGACCTCTGGGGGTCCACGCTGAGAAAGAAGCACGACGCCGGGGATCCGCGCTGCCCGAGGCCACCGCGGATCCCCGGGGTCGGCGCCGGGCCCGCTCGTGGCCACTGTCGCGCTTCGCGCCCGGGCGCCGCCAGGGGGTGGTCCAGCGCGGAGGAGGAGGAGGAGGAGGAGGAGGAGGAGGAGGAGGAGGAGGAGAAGGAGGAGGAGGAGGAGGTGAACACACACCCACATGCAAGGGGGGGTTCGGAGGGAGGGGGTCTGGCTATGAGTATGGGTGTGCGGGTGTGCGGGTGGTCGGACCCCTCGGGAGGCTCCCGTTCGAGAGTGGGGGCCCCCCTCCGACGGCACGCACCCACATCGCTCCTCCCGTGGCCCCATGGGTACAGTCCCCCCCCGCATAGGAAGGAGGGGCAACCTTTCCAAGGGTACTCTTGCATCCTTGCCTCCTCGGTCCATCCTCTGCCACTTTCGCTGGCCTCGCCCCGCTCGCAAAGCTTCGAAATGGCCTTCCAGGGCCCTTCCATTCTGATCGTCGGAGGTGAGGGGGTGAGATCGAAGTGGAACGGAGAGCCCCCCCCCCTACCGGGAAATCGATTTCGGTCTCGTGTTCGTGCGTGCCGTGCGGGCGAGGCGAAGTTGCGTGGGCGGGCGAGAGAGAGTCTCCTGTGGCTGAGGCGCGGCCGGACCAAATGTCTCCCTTCCGGGCGGCCGGGGCCCCGCGGTGTCCCGCCGGTGTCCCGCTGGTGTCCCGTGTGGCTGAGGCGCGGCCGGACCAAATGTCTCCCTTCCGGGCGGCCGGGGGCCCGCGGTGTCCCGCCCGTGTCCCGTCGGTGCCCCGTCGGTGTCCCGATGATGATTGATGTGATGATGATGATGGTGCGATGATGATGATGATGATGATGATGATGATGATGATGATGATGATGGTGTTGATGGTGTCCCGATGATGCTGATGATGGTGATGCGGATCGATTGTGAGATCGATAGTGAGGTCGAATGTGAGATCGATAGTGAGATCGATAGTGATATCGGTTGTGAGATCGAACGTGAAACCGAATGTCAGATCGATTGTGAGATCGGTTGTGAAATCGATAGTGAGATCGATAGTGGTATCGGTAGTGAGATCGATTGTGAGACAGAATGGGATATCGTTTGTGATATCGATGGTGATATCGATAGTGAGACAAATAGTGAGACCGAACGTGAGATCGATTGTGGGATCTATTGTGAGATCGGTTGTGAGATCGATAGTCAGATCGATTGTGAGATCGATCGATTGAGATCGATAATGAGATCGATAGTGAGTTCGATAGTGAGATCGATGATGAGACCGAATGTGAGATCGATTGTGAGATCGGTTGTGATATCGATAGTGAGATCGATAGTGAGACCGAATGTGAGATCGATAATGATATCGAAAGTGCGTTCGATAGTGAGATCGATAGTGATACCGAATGCGAGATCGATTGTGAGATCGATTGTGATACCGATAGTGAGATCGATAGTGAGACCGAATGTGGGATCGATAATGAGATCGATAGTGAGTTCGATAGTGAGATCGATAGTCAGATCGAATGTGAGATCGATTGTGATATCGATTGTGGTATCGATTGTGAGATCAATAGCGAGACCGAATGTGAGATCGATTGTGAGATCGATAGTGACATCGATAGTCCGACCGATTGTGAGATCCATCGGTTGAGATCGATTGTGAGATCGGTAGTGAGTTCGATAGTGAGATCGATCGAGTGCGACGTTGGTCCCTCCCCCCCCTCACCTCCTTATCACCCGAAGGGTGGTCGTATAGGTATATCCTTTTGATGCGGGTCGACTGTAGCTCCCTCCGTCCCCCGTGTGTGTGTGTGTGGGTAATTGTGTGTGTGTGTGTGTGTTTGTGTGTTGCCCGGCGTCCTGGCCTGGCAGCTGCCATGGTCCGCGCCGGCGGGGTTGGCCGCGCCAGCATACTCAGGTGCAGACTCGTCCGCCTCTTCTTTCCCCCCCCGCGGCCGCCCGCCTGCCCTTCTCCCACTCTTGCACGCTGGCCAATTCGCTTTTCGGTGCCCCCGTCGTCTAGCTCCTTCGCCGGTGCAGCCACCTCTGCCATGCCGCCGACGGAAAAAGAGTGTGAATGTGTGTGTGTGAATGTGCGTGTGAATGTGCGTGTGAATATGAGAGTGTGTGTGTGTGTGTGTTTGCGTGTGAATGTGCGTGTGAATGTGCGTGTGAATGTGCGTGTGAATATGCGTGTGTGCGTGAATGTGTGAGTGTGTGTGTGTGAGTGTGTGTATGTTGGTCGTTCGTCACCCAATGATGACGAGAATGAGGATGATGGTGACGATGCTGACGATACTGACGATGGCCCTTTTTCAGCTAGCGGGAAGCCGCTGGGAGGGGGAGGGGGACGAGGGGGAGGAGGAGGAAGAGCAGGAGGAGGAGGAGGAGGAGGAGGAGGAGGGGCTGGAGGAGGAGGAGGAGGAGGAGGAGGAGGAGGAGGAGGAGGAGCAGGGGCTGGAGGGGGAGAGGAGGAGAAGGAGGAGGAGGAAGAGAGGTGGAGGAGGAGGAGGAGGAGGGGAGGAGGAGGAGGAGGTGGAGGAGGGAGGAGGAGGAGGAGGAGGAGGTAGGAGGAGGAGGAGGAGGAGGAGGAGGAGGAGGAGGGAGGAGAGAGGAGGAGGAGGAGGAGAGAGGGACGAGGAGGAGGAGGGGAGGGGCTGGAGGAGGAGGGGGGCTGGAGGGGGAGGAGGAGGGGCTGGAGGAGGAGGAGGAGAGGAGGACTGGAGGAGGAGGAGGAGGAGGAGGAGGTGGAGGAGGAGGACGAGGAGGAGGAGGAGGAGGAGGAGGAGGGGCTGGAGGAGGAGGGGCTGGAGGGGGGGAGGAGGGGCTGGAGGAGGAGGGGGAGAAGGAGGAGGGGGCTGGAGGAGGAGGGAGGAGGAGGAGGAGGAGGAGGAGCGCGGAGGAGGAGGGGGATTAGGAGGGAGGAGGAGGAGGAGGAGGAGGAGGAGGAGGAGGAGGAGGAGGATGGGAGGAGGAGGAGGGGCCACCTGGGGTGGCGAAAGAGGGGGATCCGCCCGTCCGCTCTCCCCGCTCTCTCTCTCTCTCTCTTTCTCTCCTCCTCTCTCTCTCGAAGGAGGAGCTACCCCCCTCTCTCTCTCCCTGCTCTCTCTCTCTCTCTCTCTCCCTGCTCTCTCTCTCTCTCTCTCTTTCTGTCTCGCTTTTCTCCCATCTTCCCCCCCCCATCGCTCCCCCTTTCTCTATATGTCCCTCTCACTGTCTCTCTCTCTATCTCTCGCTCTCTCTCTCTCTGTCTTTCCCCCTCTCTCGCTCTCTCGCTCTCTCTCTCTCTCTCTCTCTCTCTCTTTCTGAGAAAGAGGGAGAGCCTCAGATTCGCTACAATTCGCCGCGAGGAGGAGGACGAATGCCTGCGAACGGGGGGGGGCCAGGGGGGGACGTCGATTCCAGGTCCGTGCCGGTGCGGCATTCGGCGCACGTCCTGACCCGATCCGATGTCCCGAGTAGATGCTGATCGATCCTGCCCCTTCACGGAGGTGCGCGTTCGGGCCCAGAAACATTGGTTCGACAGCCCTAGGGCCCGAGCAACGGTTCCCCCTTGCGTGGGGCCCGAGATGGCGAAGCAGCTCCGTCGAGGCTGGTCGTGGGCAGGACTAGGGGGCCACATGCGAACCTGCCCCTGCCCCCCACGACTTCTGAGGGGGAGGGTGGGGTTCTCGGGAGCTCCCGAGCGAAGTGAACCCCACCCTCCCCCTCCAGAAGTCGTGGGGGGCAGGGGCAGGGTTCGCATGTGGCCCCCTAGCGGGAGCTGGGGCTGGACTCCCTGGCCGCGGCCCAGTGGCGTCCGCAGGGCGGTGCTGCGCGCGTGCAGAGCGCACCCCTGGGGCCGCGCCCCCGGTGCCCGGGCCGCGAGGGCCCGGGCAGGCGAGGCCTTTTGCGTCGCTCGTGGAGGGGAGGCCCGGGCAGCCGCCAGTGGGGCTCGTGCCTTTGACGGCGCGGCTCCCCGAAGGGTCTGGGCCCCTTGCCTGCAGTCGGGCATGTCCCCCTATAGTTAAGAATCATATGGGGACGATTTCTGTAATCTATATATATATATATATATATATATATATGTATATGTCTATGTCTCTAGTGGTTCGACTGTTTCTCGTTTTTCTTTCAAAATCCGCATGTAGGAGGACGCGCTCGACCGAACCCTTGCCGGGGACTGGCTCCGCATGCTGAGCCGACTACAGTCAACCCGCACAGTAAGGATGAGCGACTTCCCAAAGGGTACCCTTGCATGCTTGCCTCTTCGGTCATCTTCGGCCCATCCTCGACCACTTTCGAAGGCCAGCCCCGCTCGAAGAGCCTCGGCATGGGCGTCCAAGGCCCTTGCACCCTTACCGCGCAGCCTTCCTGTACGGGTTGACTGTATTCGAAAGGCTCACGCCACATCCGCCGACCCCCGTGGTTGTGTCGGGGGCCTTCTATCGAAGCGACCTCGGCCCGTGCCGTCACCGAGCGTGGGTCCGGGGACAAAGTCCTCAGAGGCGCCGCCTGGGTTTCTGTTCGAAGCGGAGGGCTCCAGATGTCTGTTCGGGTTCCTCGTCCAATTGGGCCTCCACATGGAGCCGTCTTGGGGGCGTCTCGGGCCGTCTTGGTGGTCTCTTGGGCCGTCTTTGGGCCCTCATGGGCTGTTTGGGGGCCCTTCTCTTGGCCCATGCTGGTGCCCTCTACCCCTCCATGATGCGTTCGTCACAGGTCCAGGAATAATATTGGGAGGGAACAGCTCACACGCCTGAAGACCCTCAAGGGGTCGGCGGATTTGGAGGTAAAGTGCCTTGTGTATTTCTTGTTGACAGGGACGGGGGGGAGGGTGTGTTTATTCATAAGGATCTTGTACCGCTCTTGGAGCCTTCTCAGGGCGACGTTGTGCGCTCTTGGATCCGTTTTGGGGCTCGTTGGCCGTATGGTTCTCGCCTTATCTAATGGCCTTCCTTCTCGGGTCGGACGATCCAGATTTCCTGTTCGTGCTTCCCCTCTTGGGCCCTTCTTGGGGTTGTATGTGGGTCCTCTTGGGCCGTCCCGGGCGCCCCTGGGTAGAGGAATTCCGGCGCGGGCTGGAGCTAGTGACTCGTAGAGCTTCCCTAAGAGCGAAGCGGCGAAGCTAGACAGTAATTCCGGCGCGCTGGGGGGCTAGCTAGCCCGAAAAATCTCGACGGACGTGACTCGTAGAGCATCCCTAAGAGCCGTCTTGGAGTTCTCTTCGGCCGTTTGGGGGGGCCTTCTTCGGAGCCTCTTGGGCCGACTTGGGGCGGCCTTGGGGGCCTCCTGGGCCATTTTTTGGAGCGTCGGAAGCTCCAGACGTGGAGGACCCACAGAACACCGAGCAATTCGGGGGAATCGCCGATTTCAGCCTTGCGGGGCCTTCTCTGGAAGGGCTCGGAGGCCTCTTGAGACGTCTGGAGCCCCAGGGGCCACGCGCCAAGCTCAGAAGCTGAGTGGACTTGGGGTACGGGCCCCGTAAGAATCCTCAGGGTTGAGGGCTCGGGCTGCGACTGGGCCAAAGATCCGAGGACAGGGTTCACTCTTGCCTCAAGGGCACGGTGGCGGATGTACGTCGTATACCTTCCGTGGCGGGCGCGCGAATGCTCGGGGCCGCAGGGGGGAACAGGAGGAGGAGGGAGATGTACAGGTGGAGGAGGAGGAGGAGCAGGAGGAGGAGTAGGAGGAGGAGGAAGAGGAGGAGGAGGAAGAGGAGCAGGCAGAGGAGGAGGAGGAGGCGGAGGAGGAGGAGGAGGAGGAGGAGGAGGAGAAGTGAGGATTGGATCTCGGGGCCTTCACTCAGACCTCCGGTGGCCGTTGGGGACGATCCCGGCACTTCCAGACAGCGTGTTTTCACCCTGGATGTGGAGATTGTGTACCATGATTTTTCCATTGCTTTTGGTCCATCCCGTCATGGTTGTTTGTCCGAATCTCAGGGATGCTTCGTGGGGTCTCTTCGGAGCGCTCTCGGGGGACTAGGGGAGGGGCACTGTCAGAGTCCTGAGGGAAGCTTCTTGGGGTCCTAGTATTTTCCGCGGCTGACGCTCTCAGTGTTCGCCGTGCACGCATGGAGGACTGGCAAAAACCCACGTGCGCAAGCACAGCGGGCATCTTTCAAAACACCAGAGGAACGATTATCGAATGGCCTTCAGACCATGCCGCCACTGTGCCTTGGTTGTGGGTCTGAGGCTTTTCGGATGGGTGATGGGGTGTCGTGTGAGGTTTTTTGGGCGTGTTTTGGAGGCAGTTTTGGGGCCTCTGAGGGGCCTCCTGGAGGGCTCTTGGCGGCCTTTCGGGACCCTCTTGGGGCTCCCTTGGAGCCTCTTGGGGCCTGTGGGGGGTTTCTCGGATCAACCCGGGGACGTCTTGGGCCCGAGGGCTTGACATTTCCATTCGGGTTTGCCCTTTGGGCCCCCTGATGGGGGCGTCTTGGTGCATTCTTGGTCCGTATTTGGAGTTTTGTTGTCCGTCTTGGAGCCCTCTTGGGCCGCCTTGGAGCTCTCTTAGGGGCCTCGTGGGCCGTCTTGAACGCAGTGGAAGCTGAAGAGGCGAATATCCAAGAAATGCATGGATTCCACAAGGGAACGGGACGATTTTTGCGTCTCGCGTCGCTCTCTTTGAGACCCACGAGGGGTCGGCGGATTACGGTCCTGGGGCTGCCGAAGGAGACCCGAAGTTGCCAGAAGGTTCCGTCGTGATTCTGCCACGGCGCGAGGATGTCAGGGTCTCGCAGCAGCGGATCCGCCTTGGGCCCCCCCCGGCGGCGCCTCCGGCGCCGCCCCTGGCGCGCTCCGCGCGCCAGGGAGTGGCGTCCAGCGCAGATCGAAGAGATCCGCGCGGAGCGCCAACAGGTTCTGCTCGTGCCGTTGTCCCTTCTGCTCCAGCGGGTCGCCCCGTCGCCCCGAGCCGCGGCCCGCGCCGGCAGGTGAACGGCCGCAGGGTGAACCGCGGTGCTGGGCTGGGGGCCGTGGCCGGGCAGCTGCGGGACAGGACGCGGGGCCGCGCCCCCCCCCCGCGGCGCGGAGGCGGCCCGCGGCCGCAGCCGTGGCCGTGGCCTGGCTCCTCAAGTTTTTGTTGTTTTTTATACCACACCATCCCCATTCCCCCCTCCTCCTCCTCCTCCTCCTCCTCCTCCTCCTCCTTCTCCTCCTCCTCCTCCTCCTCCTCCTCCTCCTCCTCCTCCTCGTCCTCCTCCCCCCAGTCAGATTCCACCCCACGGGGCCTCAGTGTACAATCGCCGCGCCCCAGGCAGGGAAGTTCTGAACACCAGACTTCAACGACCGGGACCCTCGCCCCCCTTCCCCCGGGCTCCTGCGTGCACAGTATACTTACAGCTTTTTCGGGCGGCGGACTGATCCAGGCCCGGGCGCTGCCAAGTTCTCCCGGCGGCGCGTGCGAGGGGCGTTGGCGCGAGGGGGGCGGCCTTCCCGGAGAGCCGGGCCCTTCGCGCCGGCCCCCTCCTCGCGCGCGCCGCCGAGGTCGGTTCGGCATGGTCTGCGACGTGCTTCGGCGTCGGGAGGCGGTTGTGCCGGGCCCAGGGCCGCAGAAAGATGGCTCGGGATGAGGTGCTGCCCCCTTGCATGTCAGGGGGTCGAGTCGGGGGTGGACAGAACCCCCAACAGTGACACGTCGGTTAGTGAATTGTCCGTTTTCGGTTCTCGAGAGGGCGCCGTGGCCGTTATTTTCCGGGCTTGCGCCCGCCAGGTTTGGGCCTCAGGTCGTTTCACTAAACCACGTTTTACTAAGGGGGGGTCTGTCCGCCGTCCACAATGGCCAACACGGGGTTTACACAGCCCCGTGGGGTCACGGGGCCAACACGGGGTCATGCCAGCCCCGTTGGCCTCTCCCCGAGGGTCCCCGAGAGGGGCTGCGCAACATGCCCGCAAGCACGGGTGTGTGATTGCCGCAAGTTGGCAACGCCATCAAATGGAGGCGGCCACATGGTCTGATGATTTCGACCTTGCAGGCCCAAGACGCCCAAGGCATCTTTGCAGAAATGTTCAGTGACGAGCCAACACTACACACACCTCTACCGATATAGGGGAGGGGTCGGAGGGAGGGGGACTGGCCGCGGGTATGGGTGCGGGTTGTCGGCCCCCAGGGGACGCTCCCGCTCGAGCGAGGACCTCCATCCGACAGCACGCACCCACAGCCCTCGGTCCCCCCTATGGGTACGGGTGTGTCCGTTCGCCCCGGATCGCCTCCGACTCACCAGATGGCGTGCTCACCAGACGGCGTAGGGACTTCCGACTGGCCGCGGGCCGATGGGGAGCGCGCGCCACGGACTCGCGATTTCGCGCTCCCAGTCCTCAAGCCCCCCACCCCACATCGGAGCACGCAAAATATATCAGGTGGTGCATTCGGCTGACCATTGTGATGTTTGGAAACTTGCAGGGGGCGTCGAGTTGCAGCCCAGGCGTGCGGTGCGGCATCATGTTCCGATGCCACGACGTTGGTACAGAGTGTTTTTGTGTCGCTAGCGTCGCCCCCTGTTGTTCCCAAGTGGTATTGGTTCCCGCGGTCCTTCCCACTCCTCCTGTCGACGAAAATCTCTCTCTCGATTCTTGTTTTTTTTATGGATTGGCAGATATTGTTCAATGCTTGTTCGATTGGTACATATGTGTTCGGGTGTGTTTTCTTTGAGACATTTGGCCAACATATATACATCAATCCTCCAGGGCTGGTTTCGCGCCTCATGTGCAGATAGTTTGAGTGGTTTTCCGGACTGCGCTGTCAGGGCCCGCCCGTTTTTTGAGAGCCGTTGCAAGAGGGGCTCCGTGCCACATTGTTTTTCCCGGCATACTTGTAGGACCCTTGCGCAGTGCAGCGCATGCCGCCTTCGCTCTACCTCGCCGTTCCGTAGACATCCCGCCCGCGCTGGCACCCTGAAATCCGCAGGTCCGCATGAATGTGGCGTGTGCGTTTTGGCACTGTTCCATTGAAGCCCCTTCCCAGATGTCAGAGTGAGGGGGCCGAACCGTCATTCATTGTCCCTGGGTGCGTGGCTGAAGTGGGGATCCTTGGTGATGATTATGCTTGTTGCGTTGTTGCGTTGCTGTTGCTTGTTGTCGTCGTCCCACCCGCGACCCACCCGCGACCAACCTCGCGACCCACCCCGCGACCCACACCGAGACCCCCCCGCGACCCACCCCGCGACCCACCCCGCGACCCACCCCGCGGCCCACCCCGCGGCCCACCCCGCGGCCCACCCCGCGACCCACCCGCGACCCACCCCGCGACCCACCCGCGACCCACCCCGCGACCCACCCGCGACCCACTTGCGATCCACCCGCGACCCACTTGCGACCCACCCGCGACCCACCCCCCGCGACCCACCCGCGACCCTTCCGCGACCCACCCGCGACCCCCCCGCGACCCACCCGCGACCCACTCGCGACCTTCCCACACTGGTTTGACGAAAAATTTGGTGCGACTTTGTGAGACTTTGGCGTCTGCGGCGGGCTTCTCCAGAGTCTCGCAGATTGCCGACGACCCAACCGCCCCCTCACTCTCATCCGCATCTGTGGGGGCTACGGCATTTCAGCCTCCCACCACAGAAAACTGGTCGCCCAGAAAAGAACTGAACTAATCCAGGAGTACCCCCAGGGGCCCCCCATCGAGGATGGACGTCCCTAATCGTGTAGCCTCGAGTTGGGCCCCAATTCAGTCTCCAGCCGAGCATCCCATAAGGTCGAGGATCTGGGTCCGCGTGCCCCCCCTTGGACGCGCGAGCCGCGACGCCTGGCACAGGAGACCTTGGCGGTCCGGTTCCGAGGCAGCGAGGTTCCCTTCCCCATCGTCCTCCTCGTCCTCCTCCACCTTCTTCTCCTGGTCCTCCTCCTCCTTGTCTTCCTTGTCCTCCCTCTCCTTCCCCTCTTCCTCGTCCCCCTGGTTCTGGCCCCGCCCTGCGAGAAGCTGCCGGTGCCGTGGCCGCGGCGTGTCCGCGAAGCGAGGCGGGGGCCTTCGGGAGGCAGGCGGCTTTCTCGAGTCGATCGCCCCCCTGCCTTGCTCGGATGCCCCCGAAGTGCTCGGAAGGCAGCAGGTCGGCGGCGGCGTCGATCGGGCCTTCGACGTCGAGGCGCCGGCGACGTCGTCGATCAGGCCGTCGAGGGTCGGCGGCACCGTGAATCGGGCCGTCGGCATCGACGCCGAGGTACTCCGCGAGAGTGGCTCTTCTGGCTGCGACAGGGGCGAGTAGCGCAGGGCGGATGGACTGCCAGGCGCTCGTCCTCGAGCATTCGTCGAGTCGTCGGTCTGTATGCCAGGGGCCGCCCTGCGTGGGGGCTCTCCGCCCCTGATGCTGCAGCTTCTGGGAGGACCCCCAGCCTTCTACAGCCAAGTCGCGGAGATAACGGCAGCTTTGGGATTGGGATTCAGTCGGGCATGACCCTCTGCGGGAGGAGTATCCAAGAATAGTAAAATAAGAATGTGGGGACGATGTTTCGACTATTTCATGCAATGTTGGAACGATTTTTTGTTCAATGTTTCTTCCAACAATCCGCCTGTAAGAGGACATGCCCGACCTAAAGGTAACGGTAGCGTTGGCATTCGGAGAAGCTCTCGACTTCGGGCCGCTCCCCGGATCCAGGAGCGGGGGACTTCGTGGCCGAGGCTCGCCGCGGCCAGATCAGCCCATCCGCTCCTCCTGGTGGCGCGACGGCCGTACTCGGGCCGGACGCTGTGCACGGCACGCTCCCTCCGTCCTCACCCTCCCCTGTCGGCGCACGGCAGTGCCCCAGACCGCCTGTGCAGCATCATCTCTGCCCGCATGGTGGCCCCAGAAGCTCCTCTAAGAGGTCCTCAGGGCCAAGACAGGCCTCGACTGATGTGTGGTAGTTTGCCCACAGCTTGCCAGGCGATGCCCAGGCGCCGTAGCGCGGATGAGACGCACGAGCCTAGTGCCCCCTAGAGCTCGATTCGATTCGATTGATTCTTCCTCCCTCCTGCGCCGGTGCCTCTCTTCCCCCCCTTCCGCGCCCCTTCCGCTCGGGCGGCCCGGGCTTGTGGCGTCAGAGAGGCCCCCCAGTGGATGCAGCCCTCTTCCGCTCCTCCCGCTCCTCCCCTCCCACTTGCTTGGCGCTTAAATTAGGGGCCGCTGTCCCTGACTTCGGGAGTGGTCAGGTGCAGCAGACGGAGGGGGCAGGGGTCGTGGGGAGGAGGAGGAGGAGGAGGAGGAGGCGGGGGACATCGATGCTCGACCTCCGACCCTCGATCGAGAATCGAGCCATAAGGGCTTTTGATTTGGAGGGGGGCGAGCTGGGAGGGGCTGGTGGGGAGGCGGAGGGTGGGGAGAGCGACCGTGGTCAATCGAAAAGGGGACGGGGGCGTGGGCGTTCGGCACGGCGTGAGCGCGGGGGGGGGGGTCGGCGAGGTCGGTGTGACATTGGAGGAGCGGCCCGCCGTGGGAGGCTGGGACATGCGGGGCTTGGGGCGGTGATGCCGTGGCGCAGAGGTCACGGGGCATGGGGAGATCCGGCAGGCGAACCAAGCAAGAGGCTGGCCCTCCGACGGGTGCCCCCACGATGCTGTCTGCTAATCCCCCGATGTGCCCGCATAGCACCACTGCGAAGCACCGCGTCGACGATGGGCGTGCCCCTGGAGTCCATCTGGCAGAGTTCTCTTTGCAAGGCGCGTTGCAGCACGTGCCCACCGTGTGTACGGGGAGCAGGGCCATTCGTCTTCGTAGCCGTTCGCTCATGCTGTGTGTCACGGCTCCGGCGCGCCGAGGGCCACGGAGAACGCCGCCGTGGGGAAGGCCCCGCGCCTGCGATGCAACGCCAAGCTCTCCTTGCAGACGCACTGCTGCTGCGGAGTGGTGGATGCCGATACGTACATATATATGTATATATTTATGATGATGATCGACGTGTATATACCTATAAGTATGTGTATATATATATATATATATATAAGCCTGTATATATACAGTGTGGATACGTATAAATATATGTATGATATATATATATATATACACACGAAAGAGCGTGTTCTACCGCTGCTGGCGGAAAACAAGGGGGGGGGTCATTGGGGGTTCCAGGGTTCCCAACCCGTCCCCCATCCCCCCCTCGAAAGCCAGGGGGGGTCACTACCAGTTCGAACCCCCCCCCCCCCCCCCCCCCCCCTCTCCAGTCCATCATGAAAAGGGGGGGGGGCACTACCGGTTCGAACCCCCCTTCCTCGAAAACCGGGGGGGAGGTCATTCTGGGTTCGAACCCTCCTCCACCCCCCCTCGCCGCCGGCAAACGATTCCCGTACCTCGGGACAGATGGACAGTGGTGTGGATATAGGAACAGTGGTGGGGACAGTGGTGGTGGGGACAGTGGTGTGGGGACAGTGGGACAGTGGTGCGGACAGTTGTGCGGACGGTGGTGCTGGGGACAGTGGTGAGGGGACAGCGGGACAGTGGTGGGGGCAGTGGGACAGTGGTGGGGACGGTAGTGGTGGGGACAGTGGTGAAGGCGGTGGTGAGGACAGTGGGGGGACAGTAGTACAGTGGGGAGAGTGGTGGGGGCAGTGGGGACAGTGGGACAGTGGTGGGGACAGTGGGGACAGTGGTACAGCACAGTGGGACAGCGGCGGCGACTCGGGACACTGGTGGAAACAGTGGGAACAGTGGGACAGTAGTGGGGACCGTGGAGAAAATGGGGAGAGTGGGACCGTGGTGGGACAATGGTGGCGAGAGTGGGGACTGAGACTGGTGGGGGCACTGGTAGGGACAGCGGGAACAAAGGTGGGAACAGTGGGGACAGTGGGACAGTGGCGGGGACTGGGACAGTGGTGGGGACAGTGGTGGTGGGGACAGAGGTGTGGGGACTGGGAATGTGGTGGGGACAGTGGGACAGTGGAGGGGACATTGGTGGTGGGGGCAGTGGTAGGAACTGTGGGGAAAGTGGGGAGAGCGGGACCGTGGTGGGAACAGTGGTGGGGACAGTGGGGACAGTGCGTCAGTGGTGGGGGCACTGATGGGAACAGTGGGGACGGTGGTGGGAACAGTGGGGACAGTGGTGCTGGGGACAGTGGTGCTGGGGACAGCAGTGGGGGATTTGGTGCGGACGGTGGTGGGGACCCGGGAGTCGCTTGCCGGGGGGGGGGTGTTCGAACCGATAGTGATCCTCCTCGATTTTTTGGAGTGGGGGGGGGGTGCGAAGTGGTAGTGACCCCCCTCGGTTTTCCGGAGGGGGTTGGGGGGTTCGAACCGGTAGTGACTCCCCCCTCCGGTTTTCCGGAGGGGGGGGGCGGGGCTCGAACTGGTAGTGACCCCCCCATTTTTCCGGAGAGGGGGGGGGGAGGGTTAGGGAGGGGGTTTGCCAGGGGGAAGGTGAGAGGGGGGCGTCCAACAGGAGGGGGGGGATTTCGAAGGGGGGGGAGGACCCCCAGGTTCTGGAGGAAGAGGGGGGAATTTTCCACAGTAAAGCGGCGGTGGATCACTCTCCATTTCATGTGTACACATGTCTTCGTGCATTTTTGTTCTTGCGTGTGGTGTGTGTGTGTGTGTTGATGTACATAATTATATATATATATATACACGCCGCCTCCCAGGCACTTATTCATTTGCATCTGTCTTTGAGCTCTTAATCCGTGCTCTCACTCATCATCCGCCTTCGTTTCATCCGTGCCTGTTCATCCATCCTACCTATTCATCATTTCTCCTGTGTTTCTCGTTCTGGAATATACGAGGAATCAGCTGGATCTGGGATCTGCTCTATTCGAATGAAAATCTGATTCGACCCCACTGAGAATCCAATTGAACCTTAGCTGGATCGGGGATGTGCCCAAATCCAACTAGCATCTGATTACAATCGGGTCTACTTGGAATCATGAGGATTCGGGATTCACGCAATTCCAATGAGATTTTCATTGGATTCAGTAGGAATCCAATGGGAACCAGCTGGTTCTGGAATAAGCCCAATACGAATTCTATTTTAAATGCGAGGCGGGGGAAAGGAAGATGAGACGGACGGGGGAAGGAGGAGGAGGAGGAGGAGGAGGAGGAGGAGGAGGAGGAGGAGGGGCAGGAAGCAGCTAAGGAGGAGGAGGAGGAGGAGGAGAAGGAGGAGGAGAAGGATGAGGAGGAGGAGGAGGAACATGGGAAAGGGGAGGCGGAGGAAGCAGAGGGGGGAGGAAAGAACGAGGAGGAGTTGCAGGAGGAAGAGGAGGAGGAGGAAGAGGAGGAGGAGGAGGAGGAGCAGGAGGACGAGGAAAAAGAAACTCGTTCCCCGGCGGGCTGGAGCGGGCGAGAACTGGCCTTGGGTACTCCCATGTGGTCCAGATTACGGAGCATAAACATCAAGCGCATTGTTGGGCGCACCTTTGCAGCCAGCATGACTGGGTTGAGCCACAGGCCACGGGGACTGTTCTGCTGTGGGTCTAATGATACCTGACGCCCTTTTCAGAACATATGCCCTTATCAGATCATACACGTTTCCCAACCCGATGGCCTCCTCAGGCATCCGACGCAGTGCTTTTTCCACAGCATGGCTTCCCCGAGGTCCAGACCCCTTCCCGCAGACCGGCTTCTCACCCGGAGTTGGCTGTGGGCGCTCTCGGGGCCGGCCAACCCGAAAGGCCCCCGGAGACGGGCAGTTGCCAAAAATCATGCTTGCTTCACTTCGCGAGGGGTGTCAGGGTCGATGGGGGGCGAGAAAGCGATTCGCCGCGAATTTCGCTGCGGATCCCGCCGTGGCGACAAGGAGGCTCCAGGAAGCTCGAGGCTCTTGGACGCGAGGACGTCAGGGAGCGGCTCAGGGGCTTGGCGGAGGAGGGTCTCAGGAGCTGACAGCCCCATGGGGTCCGAGGAGGAAATTGTAAAATTACCCATCCCGCTGCCCTTCCTCGTTTTCCCCCTTTGGGGCATCCTGGGAGGCCCTCGTGGCCACCGCTGGATTCGCCTCGAAATCCTGGTCAGAAGACACCCCAGGAGAGGTCTGGGGAGTAGCGGCATCGATACCTATTGGTTTCCTCCTCGGTGGGAGGAAGGGGCTGGCGGAGGAGGGAACTCGGGGGCAACGATAGGGAGGGGGATGCATATAGGGGGGAACACATCGACCCCCAATGGCCCACTGATCGCCGACAGGGGCCCGATGGTCCACCCCGCCCAGGAGCGTTCGGATCCGCCATCGGGGCGCATCGCTGATCGATCGGCGATGCATCGCCGATTCCAGCTCGATGCATTCTCCCCCCTCTGAGCCTGCCCTCTCCCAACGTGGCCCGTCACCTGGGGACCGCCGCCGCCATGGAGACTCGAGGCGCGAGGCTCGAGGCTCGAGGCTCGCTGGGAGGGGCGGGGCCCCGAGCCTCGCGGGAGCGCCCCGGCGCGGAGCAGGCGAAGCGGACCAAGGTGGAGGACGGCGCGGGACACGACGCGGAGTCGAGGTTGCTGCGGAGGAGCGGCCGTCTTCGTCCTGCCTTCTTCTCTTCCCTCCTCGCTCCTCGCCGCTCGCTCCTTCTCTCTCCTCCCTTCCCTTCTCCCTCCTCCCTCCTCCCTCCCTCCCTCCCTCCCTCCTCCTCCCTCCTGCCTCCCTCCCTCCCTCTCCTCCTCCTCCTCCTCCTCCTCCTCCTCCTCCTCCTCCTCCTCCTTCTCTTCCTCCTCCTCCTCCTCCTCCTTCTCCTTCCCCATCTCCTCCATTTCCTCTTCGTCCTCGCCAATCGCTAGGCGCCAACTCGGCCCGAGCCCTGGTTCGGCTGCCACCGAGCCAGCGGCCCCCCGCTCCGCTGACCCTCCTCTGGCTCCCACTCCTCCTCCTCTTCCTCATACGTACGCATCCTCCTCCTCCTCCGCTCCTCCGCTGTCCCTTCCTCGGCGTCGATATACCCTCAGAGGCCCGTCGGCGATGCCTGCCTCTGGCGGCGCTGCGCCGAGGTGCCGCCGGCCCACCCGCTCGGCTGCTGGGCGCCGCGCCCAGCATGCCAGAGCCGCGGGGCGGGCGGCCTCTCGCCTCCTCCGCGCCTCTCGCCGAGGTGGAGCTGGCCTCGACCGTGCTCTCCGCCTGGCGCTGGAGGAGGCGCCAGCCGACGCCGCCGCTGGCGGCCGCCCCGCGCCTCCAGGCCCCGCACCCGGCGCGCTGGGCGGCGAGGGCGCCGCGGCGGCTGGCGAGGACCTCGACATGGACACCGAAGCGGAGCTGGCGGACCTCCAGCGCCGTCCCGCGCCCCCAGGCCCTGCGCGCTTTGGGCGCTGGGCGGCGAGGGCGCCGCGGCGGTGTCCGGAGCGAGCCTCGACATGAAGACTGAGGCGGAGCTGGCCGCCCTCCAACGTCTCGCCGCGGTGGCCGCGGCTGGGGCGGCCACGCTGCCCCTCGCGGCGCCCGTGCAGGCCGCGGCGGTCGCGCCGGGCCCGGAGGCGCCGCGGGCCTTGCCGCGGCGGCGGGGGGCTGCCGCGGCAGGCGAGGCGACCCGAGGCAGGGCCGACGGCCCCCTCGAAGCGCAGGACGGCTGCGCCGGCGAGGTCGAGGCCGAGCCGGCGGCGCCGCCGACCTCGTCGCAGCCTCGCTGTGATCCCCGGGGCCATGGGCCACGGTGGGTTCGCGAGGTCGACGCCGTGCGCCTGGGGCCGAGGCCCTTGGCCCGCGCCGGGGGCGCTCCTCCCTCCTCGCTCCCGCCGCGCACGGCATCCTCGAGGCTTGGCATCGTTCGGGCGTGGGATTTTTTTCTCGGCGAGAACCATCGAGGACCATCCTGGACCATCGAGCAAAAAACTGACGCACGACATCGAAAAATGCACGGGAAATTGGCGTCCGAGCGACGGCGAGGAGGTGCTGCGCTCGGGTTCGACGGCACGGCGCCGAGCGTGTCCGGCTCGGCGGCCCGCCGCGCGCGTGCCGCGCCCGCGGACGCCGACCTGCGCCGCCGGGCGCCGACCTACGCGCGGAGGTCCACGCCGAGACTGCGAGAGTCTTCGCTGCGCGCTCCTTGCTCCTCGCTCCTCCTGCCTCCTCCCTCCTCCTCCCTGCTTATCCTCCTCCTCCTTCTCCTCCTCCTCCTCCTCCTCCTCCTCCTCCTCCTCCTCCTCCTCCTCCTCCTCCCCCTCCTCCCCCTCCTCCTCCTGTTCCTCCTTCCCAGCCCTCCTGACTCGGACTGTGAGTTTGGACGGCGTGGTCTCAGCGTGCAGTTCGCCCGTCCTGCAAGTTTATATCCCTGTATTGCACGCTGCTATTCGCGAGTTGTGTGCGCAACTGATGGGTTGGTGTGGGGGGGCTGTTTTGAGAAGTGGGATTCAGGATGATGTGCGCAAAGTCGTATTACAAGTTTGCTTTTACATCCCCGATCTAACAGTTGACGCTCGTTGGCACTGTTCGTGCATTTAGCTTGCATTGGGGGGAAATGAGAAGGAGAAGGCCTCTTCAGAAGGCGGCCGGACTTCTCGGAAACCCTCACGCCTTCTGAGAAGTTTTTTTCTGTTTCTGGGGGAGGCTTAGAAAACTTCTCAGAAGGCCAGGGGACTTCCGAACCCTCTGAGAAGGTCTTCTCCTTCTCAATTCCCCCCCTCGCTCGCCGCCGATTGTAAGCCGTGCCCTTGTGTGGCCTCGGTTCGACCCTCGGTCGTTGTCCTTCCGCCGTGGTGTCTCTCCCCAGCCCTCGCTTCGCTCGCTGTTCGGGCCCCACCCGTTGCTGTGATGAGCGCGTCGGAGTTGGCGCCTCCTCCTCCTCCTCCTCCTCCTCCTCCTCCTCCTCCTCCTCCCTTCTCCTCCTCCTTTCCCGATATCCATCGCTGCATCCTGCCGCTCTCCCTGGCCGCGCTTCGTGCTCGTGGTGATGGGCACGCCCTCCCCCGAAGTTCTCCTTGGCGCGGGGCCTTGGGGTGCCGATGCCGGAGTCAGAGCCGTCCTGTGCCTGGGCGGGCTGCCGGCCCTGCCAGGCGCAGTCTTCAGAGCGGCGCGCCCGGGCGAGAGTCGAGGGCGGCTCCTCGTCGCGAGTGCCTCCCGTGGCCCCGCAGCTGCCGCCGTGGAGGACGACATATACAGTCGGGGCGCTGAAGAAGGAACCCTTTTCGTTGGGGAGGGGCTCGGTGCTCGTTGATTGTTTCAAAGTTTTCCTCGGTTTTCCTTATGTTTTCGATGGGAAATCGAAGTTTAACTTATGAAAAAAGGGGCCTCGTTCCTTATTTGGTATTTGGGGTTCCTTAGGTCAACGCCCCGACTGTAGGGAGGCTTCGTGACGCGGCGGCCGAGGGGGGGGGGGCGCAGCAGGGGCCGCAGGCGGGGCCCACGGCGGCAGCTGGGACCCTCGGGCCCGCACGTCCTCGCCCCTGGCTGCCACGCGGGCACGCTCTCGCCTTGCGCGCCTCCTCCCGTCACGAGCGGAGGATCCCAATGGATTCCTATGGTTTCCTAAGGTTTCCTAAGGATTCCTATGGCGCGGAATCAGGATTCCTAAGGTTTCCTAAGGATTCCTATGGATTCCTAAGGATGCCCAAGGATGCCTTAGGAATCGCTAGGAATCCTTAGGATTCCATTGGATCCTAAGGCCGTTGCCACAGCGAAGGGAGCAGGGAAAGCATGTGGAGACAGCGACCGGCATAGAGGAACAACAAGTCACATAAACGTAAAAGCTCGGAGGTCCGCGCGGATTTCTCGGATCGGCGCTGGACCCCCTCCCTGGCGCGCGGAGCGCGCCAGGGGCGGCGCCGGAGGCGCCGCCGGGGGGCCCCACCGCCGATCCGAGAAATCTGCGCGGACCTTCGAGTTTTTATGTTTATGACACTTTTTGTTCCCTTGTGGCAGCAGCTCCTGGCCACCCTGAACCTGACTCGCTGCCGGTGTCGTCGCGGATGTGGTCAAGATGATGCGCATGGTCGACCGCGCAACAGCGGCTGTTGCGAGTTTTGGTCAACATTTGTGGTTGGTCCTCGTGCGTACCCATTCTTTCCATATGCACTCGGGCGCACCTATCCAAGCATCAAGCCCGAGCGGAAGAGTTGCAAGGAGTGTGGTGCCCGACGTACCCTGCTGGGCGTTCATGGGGAACGTAAGGGGGGGATCTATTCAGGAGGGGGGGGCTGGGGAACATCGAGCTGAAATCGGCGAGACGTCGCCGACAGATCGGTGACAGGCCCCCAGTTAGCGATCCCGTACGTTCCTGTGCGGAGTGGGCCATGGGCCCTTCTTGGTGATATATCGCCGATTCCAGCTCCATGTCTCTCCCCCCCCCGAGCCAATCTCGTCAAGGGCTTCACGGCTCCTGCCGCCCCTCGACTCGCGCTGGCGCGGCCACGAATTGCTCCAAATTTCCCTGGGGCCTCGGGACTTCCACTTGGACTTGGATTCGCCAGGATTTTGACTCGCATTTACCCCGATCTAGTGGCACCTACCCTCATTTTTCCACCTTGAGCCCCGCAAGTCGATGGGCGAAAAGTCGTCAATCCCATGGGGCGATGAGGAGGTTGAGGAGGAGGAGGAGGAGGAGGAAGAGGAGGAGGAGGAGGAGGAGGAGGAGGAGGAGAGAAGGAGGAGGAGGAGGAGGAGGAGAAGGAGGAGGAGGTTAAGGAGGAGGGGGAGGGAGGGGGAGGGGGAGGGGGAGGGGGAGGGGGAGGGGGAGGGGGAGGAGGAGGAGGAGGAGGAGGAGGAGGAGGAGGAGGAGGAGGAGGAGGAGGAGGAGGAGGAGGAGGGGAGGAGGAGGAGGAGCAGGAGCAGGAGGAGGAGGAGGAGGAGGAGGAGGAGGAGGAGGAGGAGGAAGAGGAGGGGGGGGGGGGGGGAGGGGGAGGGGGAGGGGGAGGGGGAGGGGGAGGGGGGAGGGGGAGGAGGAGGAGGAGGAGGAGGAGGAGGAGGAGGAGGAGGAGGAGGAGGAGGAGGAGGAGGAGGGGAGGAGGAGGAGGGGGAGGAGGAGGAGGAGGAGGAGGAGGAGGAGGAGGAGGAGGAGGATGAGGAGGAGGAGGAGGAGAGGAGGAGGAGGGGAGCAGGAGGAGGAGGAGGAGGAGGAGGAGGGAGGAGGAGGAGGAGGAGGGGGAGGAGGAGGAGGAGGGGGAGGAGGAGGAGGAGGAGGAGGAGGAGGAGGAGGAGGAGGAGGAGGAGGAGGAGCCCAGGTTGGTCCCTCAAGGCGTGGCTGCGCTCGCCCCCTACGGGAATTCAGACCGTGCCGCGCTGGCCTCTCTCTCGACCTGCTGCCGCCCATCGGCTAAGCTTCGCGGCGCCCCCTTGGCGGGGGGTGCCGCCCGAGCTCGCGGAGATCGAAACAACATCTGAACAGAAACATAAACACAAAACGCTCGCGAAAAGCATAAGAACAACAATATAGACATAAGACATCGAAGATCGCTCGCGGAGAACAACAACACAAACAGAAACTTTTGGCGCTCCGCGCGGATTTTGCGTCTCGTGTCGCTCTCCTGGAGACCCACCAGGGGGTCGGCGGATGACGGTCCTGGGGTTACCACAGGGGGCCCGAAGCTGCCCGAAGGTTCCGTCGTGATTCTGCCACGGCGCGAGGATCTCAGGGTCTCTGAGCTGCGCGGCAGCGGAGAGTTTCCTGCCGTACATCCAAGAAATTAAAACACACATGAACATAAGCGTTTGGCGCTCCGCGCGGATTTCTTGGATCCGCACTGGGCCCCCCGGCGGCGCCTCCGGCGCCGCTCCTGGCGCGCTCCGCGCGCCAGAGAGGCGGGTCCAACGCAGGTCCAAGAAATCCGCGCGGAGCGCCAGACAAGTTATGTATGTACCGCTTTTTCTTGTTCTACAGATGAGATCCGAGTCGATGGGGTCGGAGGATCGCGCTGCATGGCCGAAGCGTCGGCGTCGCGGCTCGATGCGGAGCCCGACTTTCCCGACGCCGAGGGCGCCGATGCATGGCCGACGTGCCCAGAAGCATCGCCGATGCATCGGCGATGCACTGGCGCTGCGACGCTATCCTCCGCCCCTTTCTGGGAGGCCTTTTTATTGGAGCGGACCACGGGCGGGAAGGGGCGGGGACGGGCCGGCGCCGGGCCAGTACCGAGCCGAGCTCGCGACCCGACGGGCGCGGGGGGCCCTGCGCCGGGCCACTCGAGCTGGGGTCGGTCCGACGTTCGGGACGGTCGAAATGGGTACGGAAATAGTGGGTACGATTTCCAACAGCAGTTCCTGTCCAGTTTGGACAGGACTCGCTGTCCGCGCCGCCGCGGACGTTGTTCGCTGAAGACAGAAAGCCACCTGCCCAACAGCGGCCGCCGTCGGTTTTGGACGGCCTCTGTTGCTGGGCACTGGACCCCATGCCCTCCGTACCCAGCTCGAACGCCCAAAGACGTGCGTCCTGGCTGCGAGTGCCCGGGTCGCTGGCTGCACGGCGCGCTCCGGAGAAGGCCTCGCTTGCGAGGGTCGCAGGGGCCGCCAGCTCCTCCCGCCGGCGGAGGGCGGCGGAGGGCGGTTGGCAGCCGGCGGAAGCCAGGCGAGGCCGCCGCCGCCGGCGGAGGCCTGCGGAAGCCGGCGGAGGCGGCAACACAGACCCAAGAGAGTCCTCCTCCGCCTCCTCCTCCTCCTCCTCCTCCTCCTCCTCCGCCTCCTCCTCCTCCTCCTCCTCCTCCTCCTCCTCCTCCTCCTCCTCTTGGTTTCCGGAACCCGCCACACGTCCCCCGGATCACGACGAGAGAAAGAGAGAGAGAGTTTGGGCTCCCAGATGGGGTTCGAGCATGTGTGGTCGGAGGACTGCGCCGAATCGCCGATGCGGCTCGATGTGGAGCTGATTTTCTCCACGCCGACGGCGCCGACGTCGCCGGTGCATCGCCGACGTATTGGCGATGCATCGACGATGATGCGCGATCCTCCGACCCTATCTGCTCGGACCCCATTTAGAAGGAGAGATCGCGTGCCTGTTGTTGTGTCGGTGGCGAGTGAGCGAGGGACACAAAGGGGAAGGTAGAGCACGAGAGGACGGGAGAGAGATAGGTAGAGAGAGAGAGAGAGAGTTGTGGAGGTAAAATTGAGGAAGCAAAAGTAGAGGTGCGGAGGGGATGGGGGAAAGGAGATTGAGGGGCAGGAGGTGGGGAGGAATGGAGGGAGGGAGAGATAATCATATCAAGCTTTCCATACATAATCGTTTGGAGGTCCGCGCCTGATTCTTAATTCGGCGCCGCCAGGGGGGGTGGGTGTACAGTGCCGACCGAAGAACCGCTTGGACCCGCCGAAAGTTTGTCTAGGTATGTGTGGTTACGGGAGGGGAGGGGTACAGTCAACCCGTGGAATAAGGATGTGCGATAAGGACGCAAGGGCCTTGGACGCCCATTTCGCACCAATTCGAGCGGGGCGCGGCCAACGAGAGCGGCCAAGGATGGGCCGAAGGGCACGGATGCAAGGGTACCCTTGGGACGGTTGCCCATCCTTACTATGCGGGTTGACGGTACCGGTAGCTCGAGGGAGAGAGCAGGGCTTCGGACGAAGTGCGTCCAGGCCCCGAGGCGACAAGAGCGCCTCGCAGACCTAACCTCACAAGGCGGGAGAGGTGCTTCTCACGAAGCAGGGGTGGTGAAGTGCAGGAGGGGAACAAAAACACGCAGGCACAATTAATCGTCGATTCCCCAGAAGATATGTGGAAATATGGGAAGTGCGGGGGAAGACAAAAACCCAGAACATGTGGGGAAATATGGGCAATCCTGTGATGTGTGTCTTCATTTGTGTGTCCCAGGGCCCCTTCAGTAGTGCCCCCCCCCTCTGGCGCGGCCTTTCGCTGACCCTGGCTGGAAGGCAATGCGGGTTTGCGGTGCTCAGGCCGCTCAGGGGCCCGTCTGCGCACCCGTGGCAGTAGCGCCGCCTTTACCCGCGCGCTGGCATGCGCGATGCGGAGCATGGGACATGACAAACGGCACCGCCTTGGGGCATAACCGCAGCGGTCCAAAGAGAGCAGACGACGGAGCAGGTGCCAATTGTTCGCGAGGCCATAAGATGAGGAGGAGTGCTAGCACTGGAATTCCGCGTCGATAGAGAGCTTTGGAAGTTGTGATATGGGGGACGCCCCCAAGACCACTGCGGGCCGAAAGGCCTGTTGCAGTTCGCTTCAGGCGTCTTTATCTCGCTTCAACCTGTCAAGCAGCGGGGCGTAGCGTTCCTGAATCTGGCGAAATGAAGACGTCATGTGGTTGGCTCGCTGATGGAGGGGTGCATGCTGGCCATGAAAATGGTTTCGCGGTCCCCTTGGTGCTGACTGTTCGCCTCGGCGAGATGATGTGCGAGGGCTTGCCCACGGTCTATAACGTTGGGTGGTACCGCTGGCGAGGTGGCCGTCGCCCCTAGGCTCACGCCCCCCCCCCGTCGGAACACACTGGTGGGCCGAATGGGGAGGCGGGTTGCGGATGGGGTTCGTGGTGACCTCTGGGCTCTGACGCTTATGGGCAGTCGTCGAGTGACTGGCAAGGAGGGTATGGTTGCGCCCGCCGAGGTGGTCCCCAACTGCGTTGTCGTCGCCTAGAAAGTGGCTCCGTGGAAGGAGGTCGTTAGCTCCCTCGTCGTTTTCCGAGGCCCCGAGACCGAGAGGGTCGGGCTCCCGCCCTTCGCGGTCGTCCGTCGGTGGCGACAACGGGCCGTGAGGGACTAGCGGGGCATGCTGTGCCTGACCTTGTCTTTCCCGCACAATGTCATTAGCTCTCGACTACACGTGCGAGTGACCCTTCGCCGGAGTAACCTTTGGTGCGGGCCAACTGGGGCCACCCCCCGATCGCTGAGCGCGATGCGATAGTGGCTGCCTGCGCGCTTGGATTTGGCCACCTTGCGCGCCCGAACTCCGCGCACTAAAGGCCACTCTTGCCTAGGGTCACTCTTGCGTGTGGCCGAAGACCCGTCGTTGGTTGGAGCGGTGCCGCTGGTAGGTCGTATCGAGCTCGGCGTGACGCTCGTGAGCCAGCTCGCCGTATGCAGCTCCTGTTCCGTCGGCGTCGCCGCTGCCCCAGAGTGCTGCGGCGCAGGCCTCCTTTCCGGGCAGGCTGCTGTCTGGTGAGGTCGCCCTTTGGCGGCCCTTGCCTGGTGGCGCGGGGGCTCCCTGGCCACTTGCAGATTTGGTGCTCGCGCTGTCAGTGCTCTGCTCTCCCATAGCTTTGCAGCTTCGTGCGCGCCTCTTGGCATCGCTCGGACGTGTGTATGTTTCCTTCGGCGAGGACCATCGAGGAGCATCCTTGATCATTTGGCGAAAAAACCATGCACGAAACCGAAAGAAGCACAGGGAATGGACGTCCGAGCGATGGCGAGACCTTGCTTCTGCATGTCTGGGCTCCGTAGCTGCCGGCACGCCCTCCTGTGCTCAGCTGCGTGCTTCCTCTTTGTGGTCTTTGCGCCGGCCCGGCGAAAGCTTGAGAGGTCCCTTCCAAAGTGTGGGGCGCACGGCGGGGGCCTTTCGGAACCATGGCGCCCGCGGGGGCGAAGGGATGTGACGCCCATCTGTCACGGCCCGGAGGCGACCTTGTCCAGCTTCGCGAGGCAAGAATGAACGCAGGGTGCTTGGCGTTTGGGCTCGCTCCGAACAGACGTCTCGGGGCGGATGACGACGAGAGAACGAAAGAGAGAAAGAGAGGAAGAGCGAGAGAGAGAGAGAGAGAGAGAGACAGACAGAGAGAGATAGAACAAACAGACACAAGAGAGAGAGAGAGATAATTAGAGACAAGGTAAGATAGTCATGTTTGAACACAACCATATATTGAGATGTGTACATCGAGAGAGAGGGAGGTATTGAGAGACTGAGAGGGATGGACCGAGACAGAGAACGAAGGAGTGAAACACGAGAGAGAGAGAGAGAGCGAGAGGTAAACGTGTCGAGACGAAGGGAGGCCAAGCGGCCCACCCCCGCCAGGACTATGATCATGAAGATACAGGCTGCGTGGCGACAGTACATCAGGCGAGTTCGGACGGGGATGCAGCTGGGGTCGAGGGGGCGCGAGTGTGCGTTGCTCGCGCAGGCAGGCGGCAACTGCGCTCGGCCCTTTGCGTTCCGCGCCCTCCTATTCCCTTCTTTCTCTTTCTCCTCCTCCTCCTCCTCCTCCTCCTGCTCCGCGCCCCCTTTTCCTCCTCGCCTCCTCCTCCTCTTCCTCCTCCTCCTCCTCCTCGTCCTCCTCGGAGGCCGCGGTGGCGGCAAGCCACGCCACCGCGGAGGGAGACGGCACCGCCGCGGGGAGCACACCGAGAAGAAGTGGACGAGCAAGGACGCGAACATCCAGCAGTGCTTGGCCTCGGTCTGCAAGCTGGTCTTGCAGACGACCCAGCGCCAGAGGCTCACGATGGCCACCGTCGTGGACACGTTCACCATGCCGAAGACGCACGACGTGATCAAGCAGCTGCAGGCGACCCTCGAGGAGTACCGCAAGATGGTGCAGGAGGCGCGCGAGAAGAGCGCAGACGAGCTGAAGAAGGTTGGCAGCCCGACCGCCTCATTGGCGATCACCCTTCTCGAGACGCTGCAGGGCTGCGACGTGGGCGGCCAGATCAAGAAGCAGCTGGGAGACTACCTGGAGGCCGTGGAGCCCGCGCAGGGCACGCAGGCCACCGTCACCAAGGAGATGATCGAGCTCGACGTCCTCGCGGTGAGGATCGAGCAGCCGCACGACCAGAGCAAGGCGAAGCTCCTCCTCGCGGCCCCCCACTGGCCCATGCGGGGCGTGGTCACGAGGGCTTTCCTCGCCGAGGGGGAGGCCGCGAGGATGACGGGCGTGATGCCCCCTGGCTGGCTCGAGGACGAGGTCGCGAGCTGGCTGGACGTGCTGCAGGGCTGAGCCGACCCATCCGCTTCGTCAGAGGCGGCACGATTGAGGCAACAATTCACGCCTCAGCCAGCGCGACACGAGAGCAGGAAACCACTAGTGAGCACGATGCCGACGAAGAGGCAGCCAATTTCCTCTTCGAATGAGACTCGCAATTTTTTCTACTGCACCCTGCTCTCTCGCGCCAGCATGCGGCCCTCCAGGTGTGGCAGCAGCAGTATGGTTGTCACGGAGTCTGCGCTGATATGGCCTGCTACGGTCAGACACAGGCGCCTCAGCCAGCGGACGAGAGCAGGGCACCGCTAGCGAGCACGATGCAGACGAGGAGGCAGCTAATTTCCTCTTCGAATGAGAATTTTTTATTGCACCCTGCCCGAGCGCCAGCAAGCGGCATCCAGGGGCGACACCCTCACGAGTAATAGAGTGCACAGTACCGCGGCCCGCCCATGCACGCCCCCGCGTCGATGCGCGTGGGCGCTCGCCCCGAGCCTGCGTGACGGGACAAGACAAGGATCGTGTGCGGTCCTGCGACAGCTCGCCTGACATGATGTACACGTTTCCCCAACGGCAATGGGCTCACTCGTCGTGTAAAAAGCTCCTCTTTCTCCCCCTCCCTCCTCCTACTCGCGCTTGGCGTGGTGCGTCGCGCGAAGATATGAGACATGAAGCGGGTCCGCCGACCACCGCAAGGCGGTTGGGCGAATTGTTTTAGTCACGCTTCACCCATCCATGGCAGCACGCTTGAGCAATAAGACCAACGCTGCTGACATTAGACATCTGGCAGTCTGTTGGAGTCACTCTGGAGGTCTCTTGGGGTGCGTCGTGAAGTCCTGGAGGCCCTCTCAGTTTTCAGGGTATCTGCAGGCCGTCTTTCCTAGAGGCCATCGGACCAAAAAGACGGGGTCCTGAATTGTGCCCCCTTTTTGGATTCCGAACGCAGGCGCAAATTGCCTCTCTAGCCCTGTCGGGTCTATCTTGGAGCGCTCATGGGGGCCTCCAGGCCTTTCTCGGAACGCTGTTGGGCCCCTGGTGGTACTCTCTCGGGGGATATTGCGGCCATACCTTGGAGTGTCGCAAGCCTATCAAAAGCGAAGCGGCGAGAAGGTAATGTGCTGATTGGTGTGGGCCTCTCGAGGGGCTTCTCTTGGGAGGTTCGGTGGCAGCTTGGAGCCGTCTCGGGGGCCCCTTGGCTGCGCGGGGGGCAGTTTGGGAGCCGTGTGGAGGGCATCCCGGAGGACTCCGAGAATGAACCCGGAGGCTCAAAGGGCCCTTGGTGCGCCTGGGAGCTCGTCGACCCCCCTGCCTGGAGGGTGTCTCCGAGGGGCTTCGGCGACCCGTCCTCTGCTTCTCTCCCCCCACCCGCGCGCCCTCTTCCGCCTCCTGTCGTCCCCCCGTCAACCTAGGTGGCCTAGGCTGCCTCCTAGGTTGGCCCATTTTCTCTTGTCGTCGATCATCGTGATCGCTCGCTATATACCATTGATTTTTTTGGTTACAGTACAGCTTTAATTGGTTTCGGAATTATTTCTGTAGTGCGCACTGTATGCAATTACATCAATAATTGTGTCGGGAATTAATAATGTAGGCTCGAAATATTGCCAAGAGCATTTTGGTTATGCATTTCTATTGAGTTGGGAAGTTAGAAAGGAATTCGATAAGGAATTTCCTGAGTTAGAAAGGAATTTGAATACCAGAGATAGTTCTGAACCTCAAAGACAATCGAGTCCGAATTGCCCGAGGAAGCCAGGGCCAGGAAGGGAAAAAGGAGTTAGAAAGGAATTCGATAAGGAAATTCAAGAGTTAGAAAGGAATTTTGTTTTTTGGGTTGTTTTGGTGTTTTTTTACGACGCCGAGAGGTCTGAGCCAGGAAGGAAAAAACGAGTTAGAAAGGAATTTGATAAGGAAATTCAAGAGTTAGCAAGCAAGGAATTTCGTTTTGGGGGTTGTTTTTTTTTGTTTTGCTTTTTTAAGACGCCGAGAGGTCTGGGCCAGGAAGGAAAAATGAGTTAGAAAGGGATTAATAAGGAATTTCAAGAGTTAGAAAGGAATTTCGTTTTTTGGGGTTGTTTTTCGTTTCGTTTTTTTTTACGACGCCGAGAGGTTTGGGCCAGGACGGAAAAAGGAGTTAGAAAGGAATTTAATTAGGAATTTCAAGGGTTAGAAAGGAGTTTTGTTTTTTATTTACGACGCCGAGAGGTCTGGGCCAGGAAGGAAAAAGGAGTTAGAAAGGAATTCAATAAGGAATTTCAAGGTTAGAAAGGATTTTGTTTTTTTTTTTTGTTTTTTTTGTTTTGTTTTTTACGACGCCGAGAGGTCTGGGCCAGGAAGGAAAAAGGAGTTAGAAAAGGAATTCAATAAGGAAAAAACAAAATTTCTTTCTAACTCTTGAAATTCCTTGATAAATTCCTTTCTCACTCCTTTTTTTCCTTCCTGGCCCTGGCCTCCCGGCGTCGTAAAAAACAAAACACAAAACAACCACCAAAAATGAATTTCTTTCTAACTCTTGAAATTATTCCTTTCTAACTCCTTTTTTCCTTCCTGGCCCAGACCTCTCGGCGTTGTTTTTACAAAACAAAACAAAAATAATCTAAACAACGAAATTCCTTTCTAACACTTGATATTCCTTATTAAATTCCTTTCTAACTCCTTTTTCTTTCCTGGCCCAGACCTCTCGGCGTCGTAAAAAAAAAAAACAAAACAAAAAACCATTTCCAAATAACGAAATTCCTTTCTAACTCGTGAAATTCCTTATTAAATTCCTTTCTAGCTCCTTTTTCCTTCCTGGCCCAGACCTCTCGGCGTCGTAAAAAAAAAAACAAAACAAAAAACCACCACCAAAAACGAAATTCCTTTCTAACTCTTTAAATTCCTTATTCAATTCATGTCTAACTCCTTTTTCCTTCCTGGCCCAGACCTCCCGGCGTCGTTTCTTTTTTGTTTAAAAACAACACCCAAAACGAAATTCCCTTCTAACTCTGGAAATTCCTTATCAATTTCCTTTCTAACTCCTTTTTTTCCTTCCTGGCCCAGACATCTCGGCGTCGTAGTGTATATACATATATACATAAAAAAAACGACCCCAACAACGAAATTCCTTTCCAACTCTTGAAATTCCTTATCACATTCCTTTCTAACTCCTTTTTCTTCCCCGGCCCAGACCTCCTGGCGTCGTTCAAAAACAAATTTAACGCAAAAAAGCTGAATTCCTTTCTAACTTTTGAAATCCCTTATCAAATTCCTTTCTAACTCCTTTTTCCTTCCTGGCCCAGACCTCCCGGCGTCGTAAAAAAATATACAGAAAAAAAAACGCCGCGCGAAAGCTTCGTCGCAGCTACAGCTACAGCTACAGCTACAGCATTAATTGCTCAGCGAATTATTTACTGTAGCACCCTACAGTACAGCTACAGCATTAATTGCTCAGGGAATTATTTCTGTTAGTGAAAAAAATCAATGGTACTCCTCCTCCCTCCACCTCCCCCCTCCTCCTCCGTGGCCATTTTGGCTCAAGTTTCGGCGCGAGAGGTTGCGCGGGGTGTCAGCCCAGCTGACGAGCGACCCACCTCGCGCTGAGACCACGCGCGCTCGCGCATCCCGACGGCGGCCCGTGAGGCTGCCCACCATCATCGGGCGCGAAATTCAGGTCAAATTCGGGTCTTCTGGTTGGGTCGGGGTGGTTTGGCAGGGATAGCCAAGTCTACATCAACAATGCTCTGCGCACGGAGTACAACATGTGCGGCCTCGCCAAAGGCAGCTGCTTCCTGGGGAAGGCGGCGCCCAAGGAGCCGTCGCGCCGGGCGCCCCCAGCGCCCACGCAGCGCGAGAAGGACCTCAAGGTCAAGGAGGCCTCGCCTCGCAAGTGCGAGGCCGCCCTCGAGAAGACCGAGAGGGAGGTCCAGGCAGCCCAGAGAGGGCCAGCGTCAGGAGGCGATGACAGCCCGGGCGCCGCCGACGTTGCCAAGGCCGGCCGGCTCCATGCAGACCTCGACGCCTTGGACGGCATGGAGTGCACTCAGGTCAAACAGCTCCGCGCCGAGAAGTGCGAGCATTTTCGCGCCCTCCAGGCCGCTCGGCTGGCGGCCAAGCCAGTGCGCATCCAGCTCAAGGAGCTCGACGAGAAGCTGCAGCGCAAGGGGATGGTTGTCCAGCGCCTTGCGCTTGCCGACATCCCCGCGGCCGAGCAGAAGGTCGCCGCGCTGCAGGCCGAGCGCGCCAAGGCGGCCGCGGAGGCAGCGGAACTGCTGAAGCGACGGGACAACCTGGTGCTGGCTGCGGTGCCCTCGGCGATGCCCAAGGCGGACGCTTCCCAGGCTCGCTGGGCACGCGCGGCGCTCGAGCTCTCCGAGAATTTCGGGGCGCTGCTGGTCGGCGACAGCGTCGGGCCCTACAAGGGAGCGGTGGGCGTTTTGGCGTCCGCGGCCAAGGCCGACCTCGACGCGGCGGCAGCCGCCGCAGCGGCCGCCGCCGCCCATTCCCCCCTGCAACGCCACAGGCTGCCAGAGCTTGCGCGGCTGACGCCCCTGGCCCCGTCGCCCGAGGGCCGGGGGGAGGACGACGGGGAGGTCGAGTTGGAGGTCGAGGCGGCGGAGTTCCAGGAGGCGGAGTTCTTGGAGGAGGAGTCCTTGGAGGAGGATTTCCTGGAGGTGGAGTCCCTAGAGGTGGAGGCGGAGCACCGGGAGCAGGTGAGGAGGCCCCCCTCGAGGTCTCCGACTTCGACGTGCTCGACGGGGGGGACTTGGCTGCGCTCGACGCGGTGTTGGGCGAGCTGGGCTCTGGCGCTGCTGCTGCTGCTGACGATGGCGACGGCGCCCGCGCAGCCAGGCGAGCTAAGGCCAAGGCGGCCGCGCGGCTGGCCAGGCAGCTCGTCGCCAAGACCAGCGGCGAGAGGAAAGCCGGGTCTCCTGGGCAACGCCCTTGGCGGCTGCCCGGCGCCCGGCGCCATCGGCGATTGGCCCTAGGCAGAATGCGGGGGCGACCCAATTACGGGTGCATTGAAAGCCGCCGAGACCTACCCCAAGGAGAATTTGACCATCATGGGCGCCAACGTTAATGCCTGGAGCAGCCTGCTGGCGCTGCTGCAGCGGGTCGACGCTGAGAGCGCGGCAGGCAGGCTGGCGGATATCGGGCTGCGTGTGGAGGCCCGGCGGCCCCTTGCTTCCCGCTTGCAGGAGACGAGGATCAAGGGTGAGGATCAGCTGATCTCAGCGCGCAGCCTCGCTACAAGAGAGAAGATACGCGCCTCGCATGGCCAGGCGCGCTTCACAGGGGAAGGGGCCTTGAACAAGTCAGGCGGCGTTTCGGCGATGGTGCGCCGCGAGCTCGCCTCGGCCGCCGTGGAGATCGAGCGTTCCGGGTTCGCCCGCAGAGTGCGCGGCCGGCGCCTGGGGGTGGCGCCGCCTGGGGGTTCGCCCTGCTGTCGGTCTGCTGTGAGACCAGCGTCGGGGCAGAAGCGAATGCCGACCTGCTCAGATTCCCGGCGAAGCTCGTGCTGAGCCTCGACGTGATGCGGGTTGTCCAGGCTGACTGAAACATGGCGCCAGAAGAGCTGGAAGAGTCTGGCTTCCAGTCCCTGGTGCGCGGGGCCTTGGTGGTGCCTGACGGTGCCACTTGCTGGAGTTGCAGTGTTCAGGAGCGACGTCGACAAGACGGTGCTGACGCAGCTGGGGGTGCGGAGGCAGCTCGCACCATCGACTACTTCGTTGTATCGAAGGCGTTTGTGAGCTGTGTAGTTTTGGCCCGAGTCCACCCCGACGCCCTTCTTCATCCACGTGCGCCCATCTCTCTCTGCAGCTGGCTGGCCTGCAGAGCCGCAAGATGGCCCAGGTGCCTGTCCGCTTCAAGCCATTCGACGTTCGCCCGCTGATCGGCCCCAAGCTCGACGACCCCCCCTTTCGTCTGGAGTTGGCCCGCGGGGGCGCGCGAGGCGTGCCCGATCGAGCAGACGGTGCAGGGCTGGTTCACGTTCGCGGAGCAGAAGACGCCCCAGGACCAGGGCATCGACTAGGACGAAGGCCGCAAATTCACTGGCAGGAGCCGTGCGCCGCAGACCAGTGAGGCCCCCCTCGGTGATCTCTGGGCCCGAGAGGGCCGCGCCAGGTTCACGTCGGCTACCACGACGTGGCTCAGCTGAACGGCCTGCCGGAGACGGCCGCCGTGGTTGCGTCCGCGCACCCAGGGGCTCGCGGCAAAGCTAAGCTGGCACAGTGGAAGAGGCAGCTGCAGGACATGACTGCGGCCCTGGACTTCGATCCGCAGACGCTCGTTGCGCAGCAGGACCTGCTCGACCTGGCGGGGTCGGCGACGACTCCCGGCGGCTGGAAAGCTTCGCGCCCCCCGGCGACTGCTCGCTGGCGCCGCGCCTTCGCGCTGGGGGCCCGTGACCTTCGCTGCTGGGCCGAAGGGCGACCGAGGTCACCGAGCGGCGGCGCGCTGCCTGGCGCTGCCGAGGAGGATGCGCATGCTCTCGCGAAGCTTCGCAGGGAGCTCGACTGGCGCAGGGCGCGCGACGCGGCGGCCAAGACTGCAGAGCGGCGAGCCCGGGTGGCCCAGGCGGCTCAGAAGGGCGGGCGACAAGCCCACAGGTATGCAGGGACAAATCTGGAGGACATCGGCGACCTCATGGCGGAGGACGTGTCCAGGACCTCGCGCCCAGCGAGTGGGCAGCAGGCTGCGCGGCGCATCCTAGACGACTGGTGGCACCTGTGGACTCGCAGGCGCGCAGTCGATGCCCGCCCTTCCGCGCGGGGCGTCGGCGACGAGGAGCTACCGCCCATCACGGTGGAGCAGCTGAAAGACGTGCGCGGCAGGTGCGCCGAGTCCGCCGGGCTCGGCTAGGACGGGCTCAACCCGAGGGTGCTGCTGTAGCTGGGCGACGATGCGCTCGAAAGGTTCCTTGACATCATTGCGACGTTCGAGGATCAACCAGGCGCCTTCCTGGCCCTCCAGACGCAAATGATCTTCATTGCGAAAGCGGGAGGCGGTGTCCGACCTATTGGGCTCCTGGCGATGTTCCCACGCTTGCGGTCCCGGCTTCGGCGGCCGCTGTGCGCGGCCTGGGAGCGGGCCCATGATGATGCGTTCTGTTGGGGTGGGTCGACTCTCGCCAGCTGTGATTGGGCTGGCTACACCCGTTACCTGATGGCGGGATTCGGGCGCGAGGTCGGCTTCTCGCCCACGGTGGCGGGCCTGGACCTGCAGCGATTCTATGAGAACGTACGGCCCAGCCACTTGCTGGAGGCGACCAAAATGCACCACTTCCCGCTCAAGGTGGTGCGAGGGTTGTGCTGCATCTGTGCTGGCTGGAGAGCGGCCCCTTTCGAGGGGTGCATCTTCGCTAATTTCGAGGCGCGGGCGGCTATAGTGGCGGGCTGCAGTGGCGCCACGTCGATGGCCCGTCTCCTGCTCCTCAGCCGTTTGAGGAGAGCTAGCGCACGCAGTGGGCCCCTGTGTGTCGCTCCGCAACGTCGTGGACGACGTCCTCCCGAACGCGTCTGGCACCCGTGGCCTCGTGGTGGCCCAAATGATTGCCTGCGTCGACAGCTTGTTCAAGGACTTCCACGAGCTGGACCTGCCGCTCGCCGTCGGCAAGTGCAAGTACCTTGCCTCCGATGCGGCCTTGGACAAGGAGCTCCAGGCGTCGCGGGCGTTGCCAGGGACATCGCGGGTAGACGCCATGGAGGCGACGGTCTATAACCGCACCCTGTGCACCAGGCGGTCGGTTGTCGCGCAGGCGGCTCGCGGCCGCGCGGAGTGCTGGCGTGGGCACCGGCACGCGCATTCGCGGCGAAGTGGGCTGGGTGACGCTGGCGTGCTGGAGCGCATGGGGGCCGCGTCCTCGGCGCTGTGGGGGGCGGCCGCTGCTGGCCTGGCAGATGGACCGCTGCGCGGCCTCAGGGTCAAGGCGGCGGCGGCGGCGCGGCTGCCCGAGGACTATTCACTGGGCCTCCGCTTTCACCGTCGCCCGCAGGGCGGCAGGCTCGACCCGCCGGTGCTCCACTCGATGGACGTGCATTTCATGTGGGCGTTGGCGGTCTGGGAGCAGCATGTGAAGGGCCGCGTGCTGGACGTCACGTTGGCGGCCGCCGTCAAGCGCGCCAGCCGCAGTCAGCACCCTTGGCGCACAGCGCGCACACCTGCCGGCGCCGCCCTGCTCGCTGCTCGCATGCTGGGCTGGGACTTCACGGGGCCCTACGCCGTTCGCGCCGACGAGAGCGTGGCGATCGATCTGCTGCGTTTGGGACCTCGGCAGGTGAAAGAGGAGGTCAGGCGCGCCGCGGCGCGGGCCTCCGACAAGCTGGCGCTCGAGGTCACGGGCAAGGCCCTGGCGCGAGGCGTGGGGCCTCTCCCCGGCTGGCCGATCCTCTGGGTGCCTTTGTACAAGCGTCTTAGGAGGACGACGGATGTCTGGGGCAGGAGGCAGTAAGGGGCCTTGCGAGCCCTGGCCACCAACGCCCGCTGGCCGCAGGCGCGGTTGTTCGCGCGCGGCCTGGCGAAGTCCTCGACGTGCAGGCTGTGCGGCGGCGGCTTGGGTAGCCTCTGCCGCCGCCACTGCGAGTGCCGAGCCCATCAAAGACTCCGACGCGATCGCGCCTCCCGCGGCCTTTGCCAGCGGGCTGCCCGCGTCGGAAGTTGGAGCGTGGAGGCGGGCGGGCGGTTCTGTAGGGGGCTGCGGCCAGACCCCCGCTGCCTGTTCCAGCGGGCCGGCGCCGAGGGCGACATTGTCTGGATCAACGGGCCCAGCTCGGGGTGGCTCACGGGGTGCCTCTTCCTCGACGGCAGCTCCTGCATGAAGCGCCTCCCTGGGCTGGGGCATGCTGGATGGGCGGTGGCGCAGGTGGACCGCTTCGGCAACCTTGGGGCGGCCGCTTCTGGGCCAGTGCCCACCTCGGCGGCGCCTGGCCAATCGGCGCCCGACGCTGAGGAGCACGCGGCGTTTATGCTCACGATGGTGGCGATGGCGCTCTTCCAGTTGTACCTGGGCTGCGCCGACGCGCTGCGGGCGCTGGCAGGCGGCGCAGGTGCGGGGGCCGGCGGCGCGGACATGAGGCCCCACCTATGGGGGCCCCTTTTGGGCAGCGGTCGACGAGAACGACTTCGCCGCTCACAGGGCGCTCGGACACGCGAAGAGCGCCGCCGTGGACGCGGGGCGCAGCGCGCGCTGGGAGAGGCGCGCCAACAACCGCGCCGACGAGCTGGTCAAGAGAGGCGACGCCCTGCATGGCGGCGCTGGCGAGCCCGAACTGGCCTTGCGGCGAGGCCTGCGCGTCCTCGCCGAGGAGGCGGCGAGCTGGAGCGCCTCCCTGGAGGCGTCGCTGGGAGACGAGCCGAGACAGGATCATGGGGATGTTCTCCGACGCGAGCCTGCAGGCTGCGCCTGGGTCGGCTCGGACCTTGGCGAGGAAGCTGCGGCCGAGGCGGATGGGGCAGAAGACCGCCCGGCGATGGGCCTCAGGACGATGCAGGCCTGGCCGCGCCGCAGGAGGGATCTCCCAGCGATGGGGCTGGCGCTGGACCCGCTTCCAGGCTTCCCAGTTCTCATCTCGACGCCCTGACGTTCGACATTGACGAGGCCGCGCTGGCCAGGCATGCGTGGAGGGTGCAAGGCTATGCGCTACTCCGCTGCGGCGTCGCGCAGAAACCAGAGGTGCGCCTGGTCTTCCGCCTCAGCTGCGGCGCCGTGCTGACGGGCAAGCGGCCTGGCAAGCTGGTCAAGGCGCCATGCAATGGGCGGCGGGGGCGAGGAGGGGCTGGGGATGAGCAGCTGGGGCTCATCCGCCAACTCAGGTGGCCGCGCTGCCGTGCTGGCCGCCAAGGCGATCGGCTTGCGGGGCCCTTCGCCGTCGATTTCGACGAGCGCCTCAACCTGTCAACCAGCCTGCTCGGTAGCCGGGCTACTGGGGCTGGAGGCGCGCAGAGCGCAGCAGGTGAGGCAGCGGGGGCGGCGCTCGAGGGGGGGGGGGGGCGGCTCGGCCCCACCTGCTGCGATGCGCACGCACGCGCACAAGCACAGGCGCACGCACGCGCACACGCGCGCGCGCCCGCGCCCGCGCCCGTGCCCGCGCCCGCGCCCGCGCCCGCGCTGCGCCGCGCGCACGCGCGCACTGCGCCCGCGCGCACCCGCGCACGCGCGCACGCGCGCACGCGCTCACGCGCGCACGCGCGCACGCACGCACGCACGCACGCACGCCCACGCCCACGCGCCCACGCGCCCGCACGCCCACACGCCCACACGCCCACACGCCACGCGCCACGCGCCATACAACCCACAACCCACAACACACAACCCTCAACGCACAACCCACAGACCACAACCGACAACCCACAACCCACAACCCACAACCCACAACCCACAACCCACAACCCACAGCACAAACTGCACAACACACAACACACAGCGCACAACACACAACACAGAACACAACACACAACACGCAAACCACAACACGCAACACACAACAAACAACACACACACACTACACACAACGCGCTACACAAAACACACACAACGCACAACACACAACACACAACACAACACACAACATACAACACACAGTACACCACACACATCACACACCACACACAACACACAACACACATAACTTAACACACACAACACACACACACTCACACACACACGCTTTCAATGTATATACACACGATACACACACTACACACGCAAGCACAGCGAACGGGTTGTCGGCGGATCTTCCGCGCCACGCACAGCTTTGGCGTAAACTTCACACACCGCCTCCGTCTCCGGTATTCGTGCCTGGAGGGTTGGACGGTCTTTCACTCCTCCCCCTCCTCCCGTGTAGCGACGTGACTAATCAATCTCCTCCTGTCTCCTCCTCCATACTCCTCCCCCTCCTCCTCCTCCTTTTCCTCCTCCTCCTCCTTACGGTCCTCGCTCGCCCCCTGCAGCTCCCGCACACCTCGCCGTGCTTGTTTCCCCATTTCGCCTCCTCCCCCTCCCTGTTGCTGCACTCGAGGATCACGCGTTAAATAAGCATGCGCTTTCTTAACACCGGGCGGATGTCTTGGGTCGGCGCTGGGACCCGTGGCGGCGCCTTCCGCGCCGCCTCTGGCGCGCTCCGCGCGCTAGGGAGGGAAACCGGCGCCGATCAAAGAAACCCCAGCGGACAACGAACACTCTACGTTTTCGCTGCTGTTTGTTGTCTTTGGATTCCCAGCGCCCCGTTTTCTTTTACGTTTTCGGACCCGTGTCGGCTCCATGTTCTAGATGAACGGAGGAGCAAGAAGTCGTAGTCACTATGCGTTCCGAGATTTCAAGGGTTTCCTGTTGCTCCGCACGGGTTGCACGAACGAGGGTTGCTAGATCCTCTGCACTTCTTTTCGCTTCACGTATCTCCACGGGCACCTCGCACAACAGTCAACAAGCGGCATGTCCTGATCAGGGACGTGTAGCAGGGTGCGGCCGTTTTTGGGCCGTTTTGGACGCCCTCGTCGTGTTCTTTGGGGGGAATCCTGGGCCCCTCTTGAGGAGGAGGAGGAGGAGGAGGAGGAGGAGGAGGAGGAGGAGGAGGAGGAGGAGCAGGAGGAGGAGGAGGAGGAGGAGGAGGAACAAAAAGGAGGCGGAAGCGGATAAGCACGAGGACGAGAACGAGGAGGAGGAGGAGGAGGAAGAACAGGAGGAGGAAGAGGAGGAGAACGAGGAGGAGAACGAGGAGGAGAACGAGGAGGAGAACGAGGAGGAGAACGAGGAGCAGCAGCAGCAGCAGCAACAGCAGGAGGAGGAGGAGGAAGAGGAGCAGGAGCAGGAAAAGGAGCAGGAGCAGGAGCAGGAGCAGGAGCAGGAGCAGGAGGAGGAGGAGGAGGAGGAGGAGGAGGAGAGGAGGAAAAGGGGGAGAGGAGGAGAAGGAGGAGGAGGAGGAGGAGGAGGAGGAGGAGGAGGAGGAGGAGGAGGAGGAGGAGGATGGGGAAAGGGGAAGGAGGAAAAAAAAAAGGGAAGCGGTACTGCCCGCGGTTTGTCCTCGACGTCACAGTGCGTTATGGCGCGCCGGGCGACAAGGAGCGGCTGCGGACCGCGGCCGCGCGGGACGGCGCTGTCGCCGGGGACGCATCGGCGGACAAGCACCAGCGGTGCCCCTCTGGGCGCGCGCCCTGGCGGATGGTGCCGCTGGCTCTGGAGACGCGCGGCCGTCATTGCCCGGCTGCCCTGCTCCATTTGCAGCGCTTCGCGCGCGACCAGGCGCACCTACTGGCTGGGGACGACGCCGCCGCGGCCGCGGCCTCGGCCAGCGCCTTCGCGCCGTGTTGGTGCGCGGAAATGGCGTTTGCCCTGCAGGCGGCCGCTGCGCGCCAGCTGTGGGCCGCGCTGGGCGCGAACGCGGCCTGGCAGGGCGCGCGCGCGTGGTAGCGGCCGCTGGCCTGGCTGGCTGAGCGGTTTCCGGCACGTTGCGGTGTTCTATTTCATTTTCGCGGCCAGTCGCGTGGTCAGGGAGAGCGCGCGCGTTCTGGCATAGACCATGCTCCGGCGCTCACAGGAAAGGAGGAGGAGGACATGGGGGAGAAGAGGAAGAGGACGACGAGGAGGAGGAGGAGGAGGAGGAGGAGGAAAAGGAGGAGGAGGAGGAGGAGGAGGAGGAGGAGAGGGACGAGGAGGAGAAGAGGGGATGTGGGAGGTCTGGGGGTAGAGGAGGAGGAGGAAGAAGAGGAGGAGAAGGAGGAGGAGGAGGAGGAGTAGGGGAGGGGGAGGAGGAGGAGGAGGAGGAGGAGCAGGAGGAGGAGGAGGAGGAGGAGGAGGAGGAGGAGGAGGAGGGGAAAAAGGAGGAAGAGAACCAGTGTAAACGCAACGTTCTTGGAATCTGCCCTCCTTCCAATCTTCCTCTTCATAGGTCATCACAACGTTGTATTTCCGCTGAGGGATGTGCCCCGTTGGGGGGCAACCGTTGGAATATCCAGAAACGTGCCGAGCCTCACCATCTTCGGGATTTCAGCGCTGCGAGTCAACGTCATTGTTGCGGCCTGACGATCCTGTATCGTGCCAGAACATTATCCGTGGGACCGCAACGCCGCGGGTCAGCAAAGCTATCGCGCCCTGTCCGTCCTGAGCCGTTACAACACGCCGTTTTTTCATGCGTTGACCATGCAAATTTTTGAAACCAACGCACATGTTTCACACGAGTGTGCGCGGCTTTAAGGTGAGAGACACATTTTGCAAACGACCCCCTTCAATCCGCAAAGAATGCACCTGCAGTTGTTAAGCACGAGTGCGCGCGACATCGAGGCGATATTCACATTTTGAAAACCGCCCGCTCTCAATCTGTGAAGCGCTTGCAGTTGTTTAAGGCGAGTGCGCCTCGCGCTGCGAATGCGCGCGGCGCTACCACGACAGCAGCATTTCGAAATCGGCCCGCCTTCAATTTTCGATTGCTAGAATTTGTTAAAATGAGTGCGCGCGACGCCACAACGAAAATCACATTCCCTAAAAAACATCCGCCCTCAATGCGTGAAACGCTTGCAGCTGTTTAAGGTGAGCGCGCGCGATGCCATGGCGATATCCAAATTTTTGAAGCGAGCCGCCCTCAATTTGTGAAATTGCTTCCATACCTTAATCTCAGGATTGAGTTCGTCCGAGAGTATTAGGTGAAATTCTTTACGCTTCGCGTATCCCCACCAGCCCATCTCACAGCAGCAACTTTTGCGAAGCATGCCGACAGTCGTGTTTTTCAGGCGTGTGTCCGCTTGGCCCCGCATATCTCCCCTGTTCCTCCTTCCTCCCGCCTCCTTGCACATCCTCCTTGTGGGGGGAGCGGGAGAAGGACGAGGCGGAGGAGGAGGCAGAGAAAGCGCTCCTCGTGATTTGAGTCGTTTGGTGTTTCTCGTCCTGGTGTGAGTCGTTCGGGCCCTTCTTCCTGGTGTGAGTCGTTCGGGCTCTTCGTGGTGTGAGTCGTTCGGGCTCTTCGTCCTGGTGTGAGTCGTTCGGGCTTCTCGTGGTGTGAGTTGTTCGGGCCCCTCATCCTGGTGTGAGTCGTTCGGGCCCCTCCTCCTGGTGTAACTCGTTCGGGCTCCTCGTGGTGTGAGTCGTTCGGGGCCCGCGTCGTGGTGTGAGTCGTTCGGGCTCCTCGTGGTGTGAGTCGTTCGGGCGCCTCGTCCTGGTGTGAGTCGTTCGGGCCCCTCCTTGTGGTGTGAGTCGTTCGGGCTCTTCGTGGTGTGAGTCGTTCGGGCCCCTCGTCCTGGTGTGAGTCGTTCGGGCTCCTCGTGGAGCCTCTTGGGGGCCTCTTGGAGCCTCTTGGGGCTTCTTGGGGGCCTCTTGGGGGCTTCTTGGGAGCCTCTTTGGGGCCTCTTGGGGCCTCTTGGGGCCTCTTGGGGGCCTCTTGGGGGCCTCTTGGGGGCCTCTTGGGGCCTCTTGGGGGCCTCTTGCGGGCCTCTTGGAGGCCTCTTGGGAGCCTCCTGGGGGCCTATTGGGGCCATCTTGGGGCCTCTTGCGACCTCCTCAGAAGCGCCAATGAGAGCTGCCCCATGAGAAGAACAAAATGAGCCCAAAACCTTCGTAAAAGCAATGATTTTGCTATGAAGGAAGATGAGCGCGGCCCCCTCAGAACGCCAAAATGGGGCCGAAAGCGTCGTAAAATCAATGTTTTTGGCTTGAAAGAAGAGCAGAGGGGCCAAACTGGGCCCCCCCGTCGGGGCCAGAATCCTCGTGAGGGTCGTCGTTGTTTAGCCCTCCAAGGAGTCAAAAAAGACCCCCCTGACGACGCTCGGCCCGCCCTCTCCAGGCCCAGGGGGAGGGGGGAGGGGGAGGGGTAAACCCCTCCCCGAAGGGGAAGAAGGGGGGTTGAGAACAGAGAGAGCTCGCTAAACCACTCACGCCCAAAGGGCTGGTGGGATTCCTGGCCCGCCCGTCCGACTGGCTTCGGGGAACGACAGGGGTGACTTGGTTACACGGAAAAGAAATTGAGGGAGGGAGGAGGATGTGGGTCAGCACGAGGAGGAGGAGGAGGAGGAGGAGGAGGAGGAGGAGGAGGAGGAGGAGGAGGAGGAGGAGGAGGAGGAGAATGAGGAGGAGGAGGAGGAGGAGGAGGAGGAGGAGGAGGAGGAGGAGGAGGAGAGGGAGGAGCACCAGGAGGAGGAGCATCAGGAGGAGGAGAGGAGGAGGATGATGAGGAGGAGGAGGAGGAAAAGGAGGAGAAGGAGGAGGAAAAGGAGGATGAGGAGGAGGAGGAGGAGGAGGAGCATCAGGAGGAGGAGGAGGAGAGGAGGAGGAGGAGGAGGAGGAGGAGGATGAGGAGGAGGAGCAGGAGGAGGAGGAGGACGAGGAGGAGGAGGAGGAGGAGGAGGAGGAGGAGGAACAGCAGGAGGAAGGACGAGGAGTTGAAGGAGGTTCGGGTGGGGGGGCGGGGAAGGGGGGGATGCCCTCCCCTCCGCCTCTGGAGGGGCGCGCCGCCGCCGAGGTCCAAGAAGTCGGCCAAGGAGGCCGAGCAGGCCAGGCACAGGGCGGCGACCCGGATCCAGGCGCCTCCCCCCCCCCCCCAGGGGGGGCACGCGTCCCGCCCGACTGGGGCCCCCAGGGCGGCGCCGCGCCCGGACCTCGTCGGGGCCCTGGGTGGGGTTTCGCCTCGTCGGCCTCCCGCCTGGGCATGGTCTCCTCCCTCGAGTGATGATGTTCCAGCCGACTCGAGCCCGAAGCACCAGAAAGAATCTCGAGCACCGAGCAGGTAGCGAAACTTGAGAGGGTCTTCGCGTGTGGGGCCCTGGGATGACTCCAAAAACCTGCTTTGGATTTGATCACCAGAAAGAACTTCGAGCACCCAGAAGAGATATAGCGGCACGAAACGGTTTCCACACGTCGGGCCCTGGGAGGCGACATTCGCTCGGCACCGTCTCAATGCTTCTCCTGGATGCGGTGTGAGTGTACGATGGGAGAGCAGCACAGGGCTCGGGGGCCCTCCGAGCCCTCGGACAGGGCATGTGCTGCTTCTCGCTTCCCCCCCTCGGGGGCGCGCCGTCGAGCACTCCCCAGCAGTCAGGAGGCGAAAACACACACACATAGACAGACACAATTCATCGACAGCGACCCCCCGGTCAGCAGCAGCTGACAGCCTTGCGCAGACAGATTCTGTTCGTAGCTGGCCTAAGGTCCAAATGCACACATGCATTGCAGAAAGAAGCCGCGTGCATTGCATCTGTGCTTACCTTGAAGTGTTACCTAGGAAGCTGTCGGCGCTGCAATGGTGTTCTATAATCTATAACAAAGCTGCATGCGTTAGCCCACGCACTGCTCTGCAGGGAGGTCTATTGTATATGTACATGTACATATCTACACATATATGTGTATATGTATACATTTTTAGGTGTGTACCTGCCCGGACAGGCGATCTGCATAAGCCGTATCACGTGCTTCTGAGGTGCCATCCGTTTTTTAATGTTCGTGACATTTTGAGACGGTTTGAATGAGTCACTGCATAAGCAGGGGTTGGACAACTTATACTTCGGTAGCAACTCATGGAAACCTGGTGTACCCTTGTAATTTTGTCTTCAGCGTCGATTAGCGTCGATCAGCGCCTGGGAGTCGATGAGACAGCGCCGATTTAGTGTCGATTTAGCGTCGATTTCGCGTCGACCAGCGTCGATTCGCAAGAGTCGACAACATGGTATGGGAGGCTCCCATGGGTTTCCAGCGGGATGCATGCTGGCAGCAGAGGGTGAAGCACAGGATGATGAGCCTGTCTTCCACCACCACCACAAGTTTGGGGGGGAGGGTGTCCTCCTCACCCCCTTCTTCCTCCTCCTCCTCATCCTCCACCTCTTCTCCCCCTCCAACCTATGGTGGTGTTGGTGGAAAACCGGCCCCTCACAGGACGAGCACGGCAGTGCTGCAAGCGCCGCACTCCCCAGGCCCGCTGGCGCGCCTGGATCGTGCGGCACCGGAAGCGGGCGAAGGCACCGCCCGCGCACAGCTCCGGCCGCCGCCGCGCGCGTGCCGTGCGCTCCGCCGTGCCTGCGACCCCAGAGGTTCGACGTGCTGAAGACGCCGAGGCGGAGGGCCCTCGCAGTCTTCGGCCTCCAGGGGCCCTCGCCGGGCCCAAGGACCTTACCAGTTTGAAAAATATCCCGATCCCTATGTTTGACATCACCTCACCTCGATGCCGATCTTAAGGATTCCCTCAGTTTCTGAGGGCCTATCCCTAAGATTGTCCTCGCTTCTTGCTCGCCCATTTTAGGGATAGGGATAAGTTCGAGGCTGGTTAGGACCGTCCAAAGACGACGCAGGATGAAGAAGCGGTCCTGGGGACCGGGTCGAGGCATTCTCGGGGGGCCGCGTTGAAGAAAGCACGACGTCGGAACTTTGGGGCCCCTTTCTTGCTCCGGCCGCTGCGACGGTCTCTCTGTTGCGCCGCCTGCTGCCATGATGATGGTCTTGGCACTCATGAGCGACGGGCGGCGGACAGGAGCACAGGAGGAGGAGGAGGAGGAGGAGGAGGATGAGGAAGCGGAAGGAGAGGGCAGTGAGTTGTCGATGAGGCAGCCGGAGTGAAAGGAGCAGGGAGGAGAACAGGAGTTGGAGGGGGAAAGCAGAGTCGTGATGGGGAAGGGGGGTACGATATGGCATGGAGGAGAAGGGGGAAGAGGAACAGGAGGATGAGGAGGAGGAGGATGAGGAGCAGGAGCAGGAGCAGGAGGAGGAGGTGGAGTAACGCCCCCCTCTCTCTTCTCCTCCCTCCTTCTTCATCCTTCCTCCCTCCTGCTCGCGGATGGCGCTCGCACTTTACATGTCCCACGGCATCCTTCGAGGCGTTCATGTCAAGTGTGACCCACCCCCCATGTAAGTCCGGCATTTGGGTGAAGCAGCGTATTTGCACCAGGTCGATTTCCGACCCGACCGCAGCCCTTCCCGAGAGCATCCCGTGCCCGAGGCCCGTTCGTCTTCTGGCAACAGCGTTGTTGGCTCGTATCCTCTTCATCTCTATCTTCGGTCTGTTGCGGACGACCCTCGTCGAGAGGACAACACATGTGTGTTTCAGGCCACGGGCAAGAGGCGTCGTGCAGCCGCTGGGGCCCAGACCATGTCTACGGTGCAGCAGCAGACGACTCTGACTGGCCTTGGGAGCGGCCTCCTTAACGCGTCGTGGCTTCGATAGTCCTGTTTGTTGTTGGGGGTATTCTCTCGTGGCGTCGTGCATTCATTTTCTGGAGGGAAGGTGATGCCCAGGGGGTCGCTCCCTGAGAGTTTCTTCTTGCTGGAGCCTGGAAGCGCCATGTCCAGGTTCTCTGCCAAACCCCCGGCGTGCGGCATTTGTGGTGGGCGAAGCGTGAGAGGGTGAAACAAATCCGCCCCCCTGCTGCTCCTCCTCCTCCTCCTCTTGCCCCTCCTTCTACTCTTCCTCGTCCAGCCAGGCCACATTGTGTTGTGTCGCAGCGAACGGCAGCATGGCAGAGACAGGCAGGCCCCGAGGGCATGATCCATGATCCATGACTGTCCTCTTGTGATCGTTATCTTATTCATTGTTTTGCCGATTGGCGCGGGCCTTCGCACCCCCCCCTCCCCCCCCACCCCTGTGGAGTGGATCTTGGGTGTCTCTGGCGCTTGTTTCGGGCAGGTACAGACTCCCCCATAAAGCCGCACTGTTGCAAACAGTCGCATTGAGCAGAGGTCCAGAGCCAGACCCCCCCTTCCGCCCAAGGTCGAAACGCCGCATAAGAAAACGTTGACCTTTCTCCTCTGCCTCCCTCTCTTCCTCCGCCCTCCTCGCGCTCGCACCGTGCATCCGCGCTCGACGACGACCTGGACAACCTCGCCCCCAGGAACCAGGGAAAACACATCGCCCCGCCTGGCTCCGAAGAGTTTGCTGGTGCCGCCCAGGGCAGTGCGTGCTGCGAACGTCGTTGTGTCTGCTCTGCTACCTGTGGTCGTCACCGTGGTGACCTGGCTGCCGAGCATGTTGCCGACGATCTCTCGGAGCCCTTGTGTGGTGTGTCCCGTGCCCTTCCACGATGCACCTGCTGATCTTCAGCGCGGGCCTGCTGATCGCCCTGCTCAGGCTGGCTCGCAGTCAAGACGCTGAAATAAAGACCACTTGGGTTCAGGAATGGCTATGGTTTTCGGGCCGCTCCTTTGATCTAGGTTTTTATGTCCGGCTTGTCCCTCTACAGGGGAAATATCCAAACATAGTCAAAACAAGTCTGGAACGAACTCTTCACGCTTCGCGTATCCCCACCAGCCCATCTCAAAACAGCAACTCTTGCGAAGCATGCTGACAGTCGTGTTTTTCAGGCGTGTTTCCGCCTGCCCCCGCATATCTCCGGGCCTCTCGTCCTGGTGTGAGTCGTTCGGGCCCTTCTTCCTGGTGTGAGTCGTTCGGGCTCTTCGTCGTGGTTCGAGTCGTTCGGGCTCTTCGTCCTGGCGTGAGTCGTTCGGGCTTCTCGTGGTGTGAGTTGTTCGGGCCCTTCGTCCTGGTGTGAGTCGTTCGGGCTCCTCCTCTTGGTGTGAGTCGTTCGGGCCCCTCGTGGTGTGAGTCGTTCGGGGCCCTCGTCCTGGTGTGAGTCGTTCGGGCTCCTCGTGGTGTGAGTCGTTCGTGCGCCTCGTCCTGGTGTGAGTCGTTCGGGCCCCTCCTCCTGGTGTGAGTCGTTCGGGCTCCTCGTGGTGTGAGTCGTTCGGGCCCCTCGTCCGGGTGTGAGTCGTTCGGACTCCTCGTGGTGTGAGGCGTTCGGGCCCTTCGTCCTGGTGTGAGTCGTTCGGGCTCCTCGTGGTGTGAGTCCCCTCCTTGTGTGTGAGTCGTTCGGTCCCCTCCTCCTGGTGTAACTCGTTCGGGCTCCTCGTGGTGTGAGTCGTTCGGGGCCCGCGTCGTGGTGTGAGTCGTTCGGGCTCCTCGTGGTGTGAGTCGTTCGGGCGCCTCGTCTTGGTGTGAGTCGTTCGGGTCCTTCCTTGTGGTGTGACTCGTTCGGGCTCCTCGTGGTGTGAGTCGTTGGGGTCTCTCGTCCTGGTGTGAGTCGTTCGGGCTCCTCGTTGGGCCTGTTGGGGGCCTCTTGGAGCTCTTGGGGCGTCTTGGGGGCCTCTTGGGGGCCTCTTGGGGGCGTCTTGGGGGCCTCTTGGAGCCTCTTGGGGCCTCTTGGGGGCCTCTTGGGAGCCTCTTGGGGACCTCTTGGGGCCTCTTGGGGGCCTCTTGGGGGCCTCCTGGAGGCCTCTTGGGAGACTCCTGGGGGCCTCTTGGGTCTATCTTGGGGCCTCTTGCGACCTCCTCAGAAGCGCAAATAAGCGCTGACCCCTGAGAAGGACAAAATGAGGCCAAAACCTTCGTAAAATCAATGATTTCGCTAAGAAGGAAGAGGAACGCGGCCCCCTCAGAAGGCCAAAATGGAGCCAACACCTTAGTCAAATCATTTTTTTTTGCTTCAACGACGAGCTGAGGCGCCAAACTGCCTCCCCCCCCTCGGGGCCAGAATTCTCGTGAGCGTCGTCGTTTTTTGGCCCTCCCAGGCGTCGAAAAAGACTCCCCTGACGACGCTCGGGACTCCCTCTCCAGGTCCAGGGGGAGGGGGTGGGGGGAGGGGTAAACCCCTCCCCGAAGGGGAAGAAGTGGGGTTGAGGACAGAGCGGGCTCTCTAAACCACTCACGCCCAAAGGGCTGGTGGGATTTTCGATTATTGTTCCAAATCCTCCTGCGTCGGGTACTAGTTCTGGATAGAGCACTGCGGTCGCGACCTTCCTTCCCGCCCCCCTCTTCTCCCTTCCTTGCTGCTTCGTACCTCGCTGCTCTCTGCGTGCCTGCTTGCCTCCTGCCTGGTCATTTCTGCGGGGCTGCGATCTGCGAAAGGGTCGCCACTTTCGAGGGCTGCTGGGGGTCAGTGGAGTGAGGCACCACCCAGACTCAGATTAGACCTCCCCCTCCCTGGGGGGGGCTGCGATCTGCGAAATTGTCACCACTTTCGAGGGCTGCTGGGGGGTCCAGCGGAGTGAGGCACCGCGCAGACTCAGATTTGACCTCGCCATTCCCGGGGGGCTGCGACCTGCGACATAGTCGCCGTTTTCGAGGCTTGCTGGGGGGACAGCCGAGTGAGGCACCACCCAGACTCGAATTAGACTTCGCCATCCCTGGGGGGCTGCGATCTGCGGAACTGTCGCCACTTTCAAAGGCTGTTGAGGGTCCAGCGGAGTGAGGCACCACCCAGATTCAGATAAGACCTCAGCATCCCTGGGGGTCTGCGATCTGCGAAATTGTCGCCATGTTCGAGGGTTGCTGGGGGGTCCAGCGGATTGAGACACCACCCAGATTCAGATTAGATTCGCCGTCCCTGGGGGGCTGCGACCTGCGAAATGGTCGCCACTTTCAAGGGCTGCGGGGGGGTCAGCCGAGTGAGGCACCACCCAGATTCAAATTAGACCTCGCGATCCTTGCAGGGCTACGATCGGCGGAACTGTCGCCACTTTCGAGGGTTGTCTGGTGGTCCAGCGGAGTGAAGCAGAAGTGTAGCAGTAGCAGAAGAAGTAATAGTAGTAGTAGTAGTAGTAGTAGTAGTAGTAGCAGCAGTTGTTGTCGTAGTCGTAGTAGTCGTAGTAGTCGTAGTCGTAGTCGTAGTCGTAGTCGTAGTCGTAATCGTAGTAGTAGTAGTAGTAGTAGTAGTAGTAGTAGTAGTAGTAGTAGTAGTAGTAGTAGTAGTAGTAGTAGTGGTAGTCGTAGTCGTAGTCGTAGTAGTAGTAGTAGTAGTAGTAGTAGTAGTAGTAGTAGTAGTAGTAGTAGTAGTAGTAGTAGTAGTAGTAGTAGTAGTAGTAGTAGTGTAGTAGTAGTATTAGCAGTATTAGTAGTAGTAGTAGTAGTAGTAGTAGAAGTAGAAAGTCGTAGTAGTAGTAGTAGAGTAGTGTAGTAGTAGTACTCTCAATCATATTCGTGGTCGAGTTGTATCAGTAGTCGTAATGGTAAGGAGGTAGTAGTAGCGGTAGTAGT